TTCTGGATTTAATTCAGCAATAACAGAGACCCACCAAAGGTTCTTGAGCAGAGGAAGATCATATTAGCCATTGGTTTTGACTTCTTGTCCCTGGGCCCCTTATGACAGTTTTGGTAAGCAGTAAGGTGTACCAGTGTGTACCTATGGGTAAGATTCTAGCCCTGGGGGATGGCAGTGGGTATGCAGAGCTACCAGAGGGGAGGCCTGAGGCATACCTGAGGTGCTCACCTGGAACCCTGGCTTGGCATTCCTTAGAATTCCTGGGTGTGGTATGAGAGCCGGCCAGCTCGGCCATCCTCGTCCCCCATCCCTGTCGCTGTCTGACTGCCTTGTGAGACCCTGGACACCACCCTGCAGGGAGATAGATATACTCATTCCTAGAATTAAAAAAAAAAAAAAAAAAAAAAGCCAAACCGGGGCTCCAGGTGAGTGCTCCAAACTCAGGCAAGTTTCCTGGTGAGGATCCTGTCTGCTTCCTTGTTGGGCAGAGGCAGGGAGCAGGGGGTTATAACCCAGCTCATGGGGCTGTGGCCAGAATTAAACACGTGTATGTGGATGCATGTTGTGGAGGCGTGGATGCAGATGTCCCTGTAGAGGACAGAGATCGCAAGCACTCCTGTGCAGGTGCCATGACCCCACCGTGTCCCCAGGGAGCCACAGCCCAGTGGAAGGAAATGTGGAAGTTGACAGCCTCCTCTCCACAGCACCTTCAGAGCTGGGAATGATTCCCAAAGAGCTGATCTAACCCAGCCTTGGGGAGCCAAGGAGGACAGAAGGGGGTGAGCCAGAAAGGAAAGGAAGGAACTGATCCAGGCAGAGGGAGCAGATGGGCGGCCAGTCTGGCCCAGAGCCCCACGTGGTCTGGCCTGGGTCAGAGATGAGGCTGGAGCCGCCAGCAGAGGCCAGAGGGCAGGGCCTCAAGTGTGTCCTGGAGGAGGAAGGGCCTAACCCCTGAGGGCACCAGGGAGCCCAGGAGGATTCAGGGCTGCCAAGTGATGGGATTTACTGCTTCCTCCCAGGCACAGAGCCCCCTAACCCACAGGCCCCCTGCAGGCCCTCTGTGTCGGTGCCAGCTGCCCCCACCCTATCAGGGGCACAAAAGCAGCTTTTCATCTTCTTCTTATTCTGCTTCACGCATTTGAAAGATGAAAGTTCTCCCTCTCCTCTTTGCTGGACATACATATTTCATACGGTCATTAGACGGTGGCACTAAAGGACTCACAAATCTTTCTCGGTCAGCATCAGTGGCTTGGGCAGGCAGCGAGAGGCCCCGGGGAAAAGGGTCACTGTGGAAGCCATGGCTGTGCCAAGCCCACTGGGGGAGGGCGGTGGGGACTGGGGCCAGGGTTTAGAGGCCAGTGTCTGCCCGGGGAGGAAAGACCAGCCCATCTTGTCACCTAATTTCTCTGGGCCTCAGCTGCTCCAGGCCCCCGCGTGAAAGGGCTTGGACAGGGGGACCTCTGGGGTCCTTCATGCCCTGACAGTCCTAGTGCAATTCCATGGGGCATCCAGATAGGAAGGACTCTTGTCCCCAAGGCCAGGACCCCTCGTGGTTTGACCAGGCCCCTTGCTTCCTCCAAAGCCCAGCCCTCTCTTCCTCTCCTCCCGATCCCCTCTGTACCACCTAGCTGCTGCTCTCTTGGGTCCCTATCCCCTTCTTTCGGCCTCTTTTACTCCCTTCCCTCTGAATCCTGTCTTCCCTGGCTTTGACACCCCCTCCCTTGTTGTCTGCCCCCACCCCCTTCTTACTAGAATTCATTAATTCATGTTCCGGGCATTCATGCAGCACCTGCTCTGTGCTGGACGCTGTGTGCTGGGAGGTGAGCCCAGCTGATGCCACTCTGTCTCCGTTGCTCCCCCAGACCCTTTCCTTTGACATCCCAGGATACTGAGGCCTGAGGGGGGTGATGATTGTCATACAGTGACCTGAGCTATTGACACCAGCCTGGCACTGGGATCTCTAGGCCACACTGCCCCCTCACCAAGGGGCCCGATGGCATCCGGTCAGTTCTTCCCCAGACCAAGCTGCACTTACGATAGTTGAATACTACCACACGTGGTGATGACGATTAGTGGGGCAAAGGGGGACTCGGGCTCCTCCGTGCTGCTTCTCTGGTCCCTGCAAGAGAAGAGAAAGGCTTATTCTGAGGAGCTTTGTCTCCTTCCCCCAGAATCGCCAGGAGTAGGTTCTTCCGAGAGCAAGCTCTCCTCTCGGTTCAGAAGGGATAACACACAGAGGCCAAGGGCATGGTGAGACAGCACTGGCTTCAAATCCCTGTGAAGGCTTGGGTGAGCTCTATACCTTCTGTGTGCCTCAGTTTCCTTGTCTGTAAACTGGAGGTGGTACTGCTGGTAGGACCTACCTCATAGGGTAGTTATGAAGATAAAATGTGTGACAAGTATGAGGTGCCCAGTAAATAAATGGCAGTTGTCCTGAGGAGTGGCTCAGGGTACCAGGGAGTGCCTGTCCGGGAACCAGTCCTGCGGAGGAGGGCGGGTCCCATGGCTCAGCATCTTCCTCATCACTTCTTCAACACGCATCCCTAAGAACCCGTGGTGTACTCGGAGCCTGACCAAGTGGAAGCCTGCACAGTCTGCTGGAACACAGACAGTGGGGATGTTGAGGGGGAATCTGGCATAAGAGGCCTATAAAAGCAGGGCCACAGCCCCAGAAATGGCTTCTTTCTGTATAATCAAGTTTTCTGGATAACCGAGATCTGAACCCTTTGGTTTTGTTTGTTTTTTAAAGATTCTATTTTTTTTTTTTTCATGAGAGACAGAGAGGTAGAGACCTAGACAGAGGGAGAAGCAGGCTCCTCACAAGGAACCTGATAATAAGACTCAGTCCCAGGACCCCAGGACCACTCCCTGAGCCGAAGGCAGATGCTCAGCCAGTGAGCCACCCGGGCGCCCCCTGAACCCTTTGAGTTTAGACATTTTTTTCACTTGGATCATTTGGTGTAGAAATATATTACTCACTTCTCTGCCTTCCTCAACTAAGTATACTGAACACAAATTTTTCTCGAAAATTCAGGTTGATCATAAAGAATGTAGAACTTGGTAGATTTCACAGAATCTAGGAACTTTAAAGAGAACTTCAAAAAATACTTGGTATAAAGATACCGAGGGTGGGGGAAATAGAGGTTGGTAAAAAGGTATAAACTTTGAGCTGTAAGATGAATGAGGTCTGAGGATCCAACGTATAACATGATGACTATGGTTGATAACACTATTTTATCATTGAAATTTGCTAAGAGAGTAGAACTTAAGTGTTCTCGCCAAAAAAGGGGGAAAAAGGGTGGTAAATAAGGGAGGTGATGGATGTGTTAATGAACTCAGCGGGGGGACATCCTTTTATAAGGCACATGTGTATCAGATCATCACACCGTACCCTTAGATAGGTTACATTTTGTCAGTTACTCCTCACTAAAGCTAAAAAATAAAAGAATTGAAATATATTTTTATTAGCCAAAACTCTAGCCAATCACCATCTTACAGAGAAGCCCTGAATGCAAACCAGATGTCCCCAAGGTCAGCCCAAGGCCTTTGCTCCTGGCATCTGGCAGCAGGCAGCAGGTTGCCCGGCTGAGAAAGGGAGCAGAGTCCCAGCGCCCGGCGTACAGCGCACGCTTAATAAGGAATGAACAGATAAGTGGATGGTGTCATTTAACCTATACCGTGGACCGTAACCAAGCCAGGAATGATGCCGCAGCCGGGAGTCCCACCCACAAAAGCCAATCCCCTGCTGAAAGTGCCCTCATTCTGGAGAAGGGAGAGGGACCCCATGGAGGGGTGAGAGGGGGTAGCCTAAAGAAAGGAACCACAGCCTGGGAGTGGGGATCCCTGTTTCTGCCTCATTTTGCTTGTAACCTGGCTCATGATCTAGAATGGGCCTCGCTGGGGTTGGGGCCTCAGTGTTGTGATCTGTAAAATGGGTGGAAATATCTGTCCCCCTCATCACATGGGACAGTTGTGAGGATGAAATGAGGTCATGATAAATGTGCATGGTCTGTGAAAATGTAAAAGGCGGGACCACTGGACAGGCCGGCAGTGGTCACCATCATTGCCACTGTCATCAGCCTAAGGCAGGCCTCTCTCCCTCCTGTCTCTTCCGACTGCAAGTGGCAGGACCAGACCGGGTAAAAGAGATCTTTCTTTTTGGACTCACAAATCAAACTGAGGGTGGAAGGGATGTCAGAGGAAGGACTCCAGAACTACCAGGCTCCCGCCTCTCCCCTCCTAGCTCTCCGCTGGGGGCACCTTCATCGTCCTCACACAGCCAGCAGCTCCCAGTGTGTTTGGCCTTCACTGTCCCAAAGGGAAGCTTTCAACCCCAGCAGCAGTAAGAGGAATCCCAGAGAAGGATTCTGACGGGCAGAGAGGAGAGCAGAGAGCCCCCACTGAGACTGCTTGCTGGAGCAGAGACAGGTGCCAAAGAAGATGGGTCGAGGTGGCAGTATAGGGCCTTGCCAGCCAGATGACAGTCCGCCTTTTGCATGCAATGGGTTATTCCCAGGGTTCAAGAAGGCAGGGGCCCCAGAATCCCCCTGAGGGGACTTTCCCACCAGGAAGCCCATCAGATATGGAGGCTTTGGGGACTGGGAGAGTCCACCAGATGGTTGAACCCACTTCCACCTTTGTCTGCAATATTTTGCAAACCTATAGGTTGTGACCCCACACTGCAGATCCAAGGCCTCACCCCCAAGCCCTCTGAGCATCTGCAGAGCAGAAGCCTGCCTGGCCTGACACGAGTCCAGAAGAGGTGGTTTCCCCAAGTTAGAGGTTTAGACAGAAGACCGATCCTCCAGAACTGCACTGTCCACTGTTAACCTCAACAGCTCTTGGTGCCTGGGGACACCTGTACTGAACAATGTACCTCTCGAAAATTCAACCAGAGGAGCTGTGTGGGAGGACCAGGGGGTTGGCCGTGGACACGTTCCAGTGAGATCAAGAGCTTCGCTAGGTCGGGCAGCGATGACGTCCTGTTCTCACTTTTGCAGGCAACAGACAATGACGTGGGCACCTTTGGGGAAGTGAACTACTTCTTCAGCGATGACCCTGACCGGTAAGACCCTACGCTGGGCCGCCCAGTGCCCAGTGGCACTCCGCTATTCACGAGGTTCAGGAAACTTCTCAGTACCCAGGGAGGGCGCCAGGCCCCCGTGGCGGAAGCACTGAGCCAGCAGGGAGTCAGAACCCACGGGCACCGCTGCCAGTGTGGCCCTGGCTGTGGCACAGTCTCGGTTAAGTCCTCTAAACTCTCTGAGGCGTAATTTCTCTGGCGCCCAAAAGGCAGCCTTTAGCTTTGGGAGTGAAGCAGCTCAGAGACGCTGGTGACCGCACCCAGCTATGGCCGTAGCAGCAGCTGGCATCTGGGAGCCCTCGCTGTGTGGCAGGCTCTGTGCCGAGGGCTTTACACGCATTACCTGATTCCATCCCCACAAGTGCTGGAGGCACTCCTCTCCAGGCACTGCTATCATCTGCACTTTGCAGAGGAGGAAACTCAGAGAGGCTGAGTCATTTGCCCAAAGTCACACAGCTGGCGTGGAGGTCAGGTGGTGGCAGCTTGTCTCACCGCCTGACCTATGCCAGCCTTGCCCTGCCACTCACCGTGGATCTGGGCCATCTCCTTCCCCTGTCTTCAGTTAAGCTGAAGGGGACGCCCTGTCATTTTTGACATGATCAAAAGCCAAGTTGAAGTCAGAGAGCAGGTCTGCTTCTAAAAATGAAGTGCCTGATGCATCAAGAGGAGACAGAGATCGTTAGTCGCGTCCGGCCATTCTCTGCCACCCCGGGTGGAGCCCCAGCATGGGAGGAAGGAACCACTAGCAGGAGGCACGCACAGGGCACTCTCTCCCTCAGGGCACCCATGTTCACACAGCCTTGTCCTGATCAGCTCGGGTTTCCTCATCTCTTCCCATCTTCACTCTTGGTCTCGGAGCCAGGACCTGCTGGCAGGCTCGGTGGCTGGCAGCTGTGGACCAGACCCGGGGATACAGGAGCCAACTTACAACTCAAGGGAGGCTCTCCCGGGTTAGAGGGATGGTGTCGCAAGTGAAAGAGAGGGCAGATTTCTGACCTCATTTCTGTTTATCACCTTGGGCAAGGACGGGCTGGTAAATAGAGACCTTATCTCTAAACTGCTTTACCCCTGGGTCCCTTTCTCTCTCCGTGGCACGTGACATAGGTTCTCTCTGGACAAGGACACCGGACTCATCATGCTGATTGCCAAACTGGACTATGAGCTCATCCAGCGCTTCACCTTGACAGTCATCGCCCGGGATGGGGGTGGTGAGGAGACCACAGGCCGGGTCAGGATCAATGTGTTGGATGTCAACGACAATGTGCCCACCTTCCAGAAGGATGCCTATGTGGGGGCCCTGAGAGAGAATGAGCCTTCTGTCACACAGCTGGTGCGGCTCCGGGTAAGAGACCAGGGCATCCTGCTGTCCAGCCCTCCTCCCATCCTTCCCTCTGTGCCCTCATCCCGACCACCTGCCCTGTGGAAGCTGCCACAAGTGAGGCCAACCTGCCGTCCACAAAGAATTCATCCTAGATCCTGGTCAGGCCTCTGAGCATTCCCTCATGTCCCTGGTAACCAAGTGGGGCAAGTGTCTGGGTCAGCTAAAATTCTAGGTCACCCATTCAGCAAAGTGATGTCCTCCCCATCTCCCTTGGCAAGTGGTGAGCAGGATAAGGACCACATAAGAACACCCTACCCAGACCCCTTGGTGGCAGCTTGGAATCTGGAACTGCGGAAGCTGGAAGGAACCAGAGTCTGTGGGGACACCACCCATTTCACAGAGCAGGAAACAGGAGGAGTGAGAGTTCCCCCCTCCAGAGGCTCAATGAACTCGGGGCCCCACAATCCCAGTGTCCACCTGCAGTGAGCTCCCCCCATACATAGCAACTCTGAGCAGAGACTTCGTGATGTCCTCACTCCCCCACCCCCCATGCCCCCACCCCCCATGCCGAGTGACAGGACCCTGGGCCTCCATTTAGGACTGGTTTCGGAAGCAGACGGGGATGGAGGCAAGAGACCAGGGGTGGGCACGCGGGCCTGCAAAGAAAGGAGAACCCACACACTGTGCCGTCCCACCCTGCTCAGCTCCCAGTACCCCCAGAGTGATGGGCTGCCTTTGGAGGCTCCCTAGGAACAGAGATGTCTGAAAAGAGGCTAATGAATTCAGTCACCCTAGAAGACAGTCAAGGGGAAGAAAGATCTCTGAACTCATTCCAGTGTGTTCACCCCCCATACCTTGCATTCATGCGGTGTGCATTTATTTGACACCTACTGTGTGCCGCATGTTGTGCTGGACTATAGGCATGAAATGTAAGGGTCTCACTGGCCTGGAGTGGACAATCTGAGTGAGGCAGGCAGAAATGGAACGGGGAGCCACAGTTGGGTGTGGAGGGACTAATGGGGCGCATAGCACAGGGCCCACCTTGTCCTAGGGGTCAGGGAAGGCCTCTGTGGGTCGGGTGTTCAAGCTGAGACCAAAGGTTCTGGGAGATGGTTGTGCCAGGTATGGTGGTGACGTCCATCCTCAGAGTAAGCCCCAGCCTTCCCCATTTGCCCTAGGTCTCCAGCTGACCTTCTAGATTCCCATGCCACCTCCATACCCCAACATGAGAGAGTAGCCTCTGGCTGAGGGACAAATAGAGCTTGGATCACCCAAAGCAGGGGATCCTGAAGGGGCCAGTCCCCCCGTCCCGGCCTCTGAGGGCTCACGGGCCCCATCTGTACTCTTCCTTCCAGGCCACGGATGAAGATTCCCCTCCCAACAACCAGATCACCTACAGCATCGTCAATGCTTCCGCCTTCGGCAGCTACTTTGACATCAGCGTGTATGAGGGCTATGGAGGTAGGCATGCGGCGGGACTGAGCCCCAGCCCAGGGAAGAGAGCCCGGGGGCCAGAGAAGGGTCTGCACACTCACGCCTCTCTCCAGAGGGGGGTGGCCGTCTGTCTCCCAGACACCTGGACAACCCAGGAAGCTGCCCCATAGCCCATCAGCTGGAGCAAGTGACACAAACCTGGGATCACCCCCCTGTAGGATCCGCTCCATCTTTCTCTTGGTCTTAGACCACGGTCAGCCCAGCATCTGATATTCCCACAGTCTGCAGGGCCCCTCTTTTTTACCCAGGCTGCCCCGGCAGGTCCATAAGGTAGAGGTGTGTCAGCCAAGCGTCCTGAGCCTCTGGGTGTGCTTCAAAAGCCCTGTACTCTGGACCTTGCCCTGCCTGCTCCCCTGGGACTCCTGATCACTGCAACTAGGCGGGGAAGAGCAGCAGCCCTCAGCTCCAAGATCTTGAGACCCAACTTGTTCTTCAGGTGAAAGGCCGCAAAGGCCCAGAGTCAGGGAGTAACTTGCCCAAGGCCACGCAGCAGAGGTGTCCAACAAGACTCGTGTAATCTGGTTCTTGTTGCCTCTCGAGCATCCTCTTTCAGCACCTATGTTTCCACACCAGAACCCTCTTTGAACCCCTTGACCCTCTCCCCTTAGTGATCACTTGCATGTCTTTGCAGAGTCTGTTCCTTCAACCAGGAAACCCTTCCTCCCTGTCCCTTTGCTCTGCCCTCCTTTGGCCTTTAAGCCAATAACCTCTGGCTAGCATTAAGGGCTCATTTGGACACCCCCTCCTCTAGGAGGGTCCCTGAATGCCTGAAGATGGCTTAGGTGCCCTTGAGGCAGAACGGATGTGCTTTGCGGGGACCCTGAGTCCAGCACTCACTCCTCCTGCACCCCACAATCAGGTCAGAGAAACGCGGTCACAGAAATTATAATCCTGGCTCCAGATGCTACAGCCTGATGTTCTCTTTAAAATCTATGCCCCTACTTTAATGACCTGCAAGTGTCTTCGCCCACTTGCACACCCCAGCCTCTCCTGGACTAGACCCTCCCTTCGGTTTCACATTACTAAGCAATGCTTTTGCTGCCATTTCCCACATAGAAAGGGGGATTTTGTACTGTCACGATGCCCTGTCAGAGCCCCGATGACCCCCACATGCAAGCTAATGTGCCTTCCTCCCAAAACAGAAGAGTACCCATGGGAGAGGGAGTTCAGGCATATGCAGTGATGAGGACATCAGAAAGGGGCATCTCTCCACAACCCCCAAATCCTGCCCCTCCACCTCTGTCTGCCTCTGGCTTTAGTGGTGTCCTTGCCACCTTCAGGCAGAGTTGTGCTGGGAGTCAAGTCTGTGACACTCGGTGTCCTCCCAAGAGGCCGAAGCAGTGCCCAGAGCAGGCTGCTAGATGGGACGGGCATGGAGAGCCCACAGGGTAGAGGGCGGGGGCCAGGGAGGGACGGAGAGAGAGGAGTAAGGCCGTGGCAGGACCAGAGGAGACTAGAGAGGGAGCCGCCACCTGTGCCCCACCGGCAGCACCACCTCTGGCAGCCCTGAGACTGGTTGATAAGTGGATGAACTCTGCTCATCTGGAGAGAGTTAGTAAGAGACCAACTAGAGTCCGAGGCATGACCCTGTCCTCCGAGCAGCTTCCAGACTGATGGAGAGTGTCACAGAAGTGGGTGAGATAGATAAGCAGGTAATAGCACAAACTAGGAAAGAGCCTGGATTCCAACAAATCTAGGCTCGAGTCCCACCTCTATCGAGGTGCTAGCTGTGTGTCTTGGGGCATGTTATTGAACCTCTCTGAGCTTGGCCTCCTCGTCTGTAAAGCGGTACTTACGTCACCACCAAAATAGTGAACACCTGCGGTGCTCAGCACTTTGCCTCCTGCATATCAGGCAGTTGGTAAACCTACACCAAGGCACCGAGGCCCCCGGAGTTCAGAGGAAGGTGGGGTGGGGGGATGAAGCAGAGCTGGCCAGCATGTGCCAGCCACACCCTCTCTGCCCAAAGAAGACCCCTGGCTGGATGGGCATCTAACATCTGCTTAAAGGGGGCCATGGGGACCTGTTCCTGTCATTTCAGTGATCAGCGTGAGCCGTCCCCTCGATTATGAGCAGATACCCAATGGGCTGATTTACCTGACAGTCATGGCCAAGGATGCTGGCAACCCCCCTCTGAACAGCACCGTCCCTGTCACCATCGAGGTGTTTGTAAGTACCCAGGGGTGCTGCTCTTGCCCTCTCAGGGTAAGGAGTGGTGAGTGCTTCCCAGAGTGCTGGGGGCCCTGCCTGAACCTAGTGGTGTCAGACTGTCCCTATATCCTTGGCTGTCCCTGCGGCTCTGGAAGTCACCCAGCAGATGGTCCCAAAGGCTGCCCCCAGCAACCTTCTGCCACTGCTGCACCAGGCAAGCTGCCCCCCCATCCCCCACTGCCCAGCTCAACCAGGAAGGCCAGGCCCTGGAATGCAAGAAGATCCCCATCAGCCGGCTCCAACTTCATTAAGGGGCCTCAGGACACTTGCTGATGGGGAACAGGAACTGGGGCTCAAGCAGGAGGAAATGTCACAAGATCCTCTCATTTAGAGCCATGCTTTGTGAAGTTGAAGGGAGTTATTGGGAGGTCATCTTCTCTCTCCTGTCTGTCTGTCTGTCTGTCTCTCTCCCTCCATATTTGTATATATCCCCCTCTTCCTTTTTTCTTTCCTTTGTCTGCTCCTCTGAAGATCTAAAGGGGCCTGAAACCAAACCACAGCTTGTCTGACATGAATATCAAGCGCACATTAGTGATTTCCATGCCTGTAATTATCAGCCACTGAATCCATCTCCACACTGGTTCATTTGCCCTGTGCTGCTCCCCTGGCCATCCCAGGGCTGCAGATCGTGGTCTGATGGGGCATCAGTGGGCCTTTCCCCACCAGAGACCTCCCCACTGCATATGCACAAGTGTACCCGCCTCCCCCCGCCCCACCTCATAGAGGCTGCTGCCTGCAGGAGCGGGTGAGTGTTGATGGAAGAGTTAGTGCTTTACCGGCTCCAGGAGGATTAGATCAGATTGTCGGGTTAGGAGGTAGGCTGTGATCGGACATATGCTCAGGAAAGTCTCTTCCAGAGCAGGCATGCTGGATGAACTTCCTGTCCCAGGCAGCTTCACCAACCGCCTCTGGTGATGCCCCACACCTGGCTTTACCAAGCCTCATCCTCTCGACTCTCAACCCAAGGCAGAGAGGCTCCAAAGCCAGCTCCTGAGTGGGACAGTCCTTGTCTGGGCAGGGAACCCTGATTGCTTGCTTGCTGCATAGGATGCGCTGGCAATGATAAGGTTGAAAGGGGATGCCTTGTGGGGGGACCCCTGCAGGTGGGCATGAGGGAGCAGGGTTTAGGAGTAGCATCGGAGGGCGAGGCTGTGCAGAACCAGCAAAGGGAAGGAAGGGCAGAGAGTCTGGGTCCCCACAGATTTCAGGGAGTGGTGGGAGGCCAAGGGGAGGGGGCAGCTGGAAAAGAGGAGAGCCACAGAAATCTAAACACTCACTGCCTGCCTTTTATCCGTAGCTCCCCACTTTTAATTTCTGAAGTGGGGGGCACCAAAGAACCAGAATGCATTCCCTGACAACCGTGACCATGTCTTCTCCACATGGCCCATTACCAGTCTTGATTAAAAACAGCCCCAAGAGCCCCCCAGTCCCGGTCATGCTCCTAACCCCGACCGACCCATCCATCATTTTCAACCGGCGGGTATTCTCCGCTGAGGCACGGTGAGTTCCCCTTGTCTGCAAGATGCAGCAGCAGATCTCGGAGGGATGTGAAGGTGTCTATGAAACCTGCCCCCCTCCTCAAAGAATGGAGAAAGGAACATAGTTTGGGAGGTGTATGGCTTTGAAACCTGGCTCTGCCACCCTCTAACTCTATGACCTGGGGTCCTTAACTCTCTCCCTCTGAGCCTCAGTCTCTTCATCTGCAAAATGGGATAATCATGGTATCATGCATCATGATATTGTTGTGAGGATTAAGTGAGATCACACAGGTGGCACCTGGCACCTGTAATGTTGGCTACCGTCACAGCTGATAAGACAAACTTCCATACCGTCGGCAGCATCCCTGCACCAGGCTGCCTGTGGTGCAAATGGGAATTCCAGAGAACTCAGCCAGACAAAGAACGTGCTCTAAATATGGGGGAAGCAGATGAGGGAGAGGGTAAGAATAGGGGAGGTGTAGGGAAATAAGTTGAGGTGTTCTACACCAGCCCAGGGATGGACAAGCAGAACTGGCCAAATGGAAACTAAAATTTCCTGAGCTCCAATAACATGTCAGGTGCTTCCACATTACACAGTCTCTCCCAATCCATGCTACAGATGAGGGAACATTACAGGTCCAGGATTACCAGCGCTTTCCTCACTTGCTGGCTAGTAAGTGACACTTGAATCTGCTTCCAGTCCTAGTGAGCTAGGATTTGAACCCTGACCTGTCTGACTCCTGAGTTCACATTCCTTCCACTTTCCACTACACCTGAAACCTTGGAAATCCCTATCTGCGAGCGATTGAGACCAGTACCCCTCAAGGATTGTGTGAATTTCCTGGAGATCTTCTTCTTCTTTTTTTTTTTTTTCTCCTGGAGATCCTCTTAAAATGCAAATTCTTATCTAGTGAGTCTAAGCAAGGGCTGAGGCTCTGCATTCCCACAAAGCTCCAGGCACTGTTGCTGCTTCAGGTCAGGGGACCACACTTTGAGTAGCAAGGCCTTCAAAGGTCTGCCCTGATGGGCTCTTAAAACCCAGGGAATACCGCAAATTCCAGCTTCCCAACCTGTGGCTCAGTGAAGGAACCCAGAAAGGGCCTCTTTCTCCTTTTGCCTCAGCTTCTCCAGAGCAAAGTGGGAAGAGGGTGGCCAAGGAGCCAAGCTAACCTTTCATTCATTGTGAATAAAAGAGTGGTCAACAGCCTTAGTCTCCCTCCCTGAAGCCAGACAGCAAGGTCCCTGTGTGCAGGGGTGGGGGGTGGGGGCAGGAATCCACTCAGCCTAGAGCTACCTGAACCCAGCAGAAAGGGTCATTTTCAAGTTTCCTCGAAGCCATCATACAGACCAGCAAGGGCCCTACAATTTCCTTCCAGGTGTGCTCTGAGGCCCTGGAGGGGATGGAGTGCAGGGTTGGGGTGGCGGCGGAGAGGGGGGAGGCTGGCAACAAAGACAGATGCCAGCTTGGCTGTGAGTGAACATCCTCTCTTAAGCAGGGCTTCAGGATGGTGTAGTCACTTGTGTCTAAGGACCACACTTGAAAAGGTCACCGCCTTTGGGTTGATTTTGCACGTGGGTGATTTTTAAGTAGCTGTCACTTGGCTAAGCTGCCTCCTCCGACCACCAAAGGGATTTTCTCTCAACTGAGGGGGCGGGGGGCGGGGGGACTCAGCGAAGATGAGTAGTTCACGGCAGCACTTGTGGCATCCGTTAGGGGTGGGGAGAGGCAGACAGGGCCACCAGGCTCCCGAATGGAAGAGGGGGCAGGCGGGAGGGGCCAGGTGATTCCTTTTCACCCGCCGCTTGTTGGTTTTTAATAAAGAAGTCAAACGCGGTTTGTAGATTTCCCATTAGGGGACAATAAGCTTTTGTAGAGGGAGCCGCTGAATTAGAACTAATAGTGAATGCAGTGCCAGGATCCGGGGAAATATCACCGCTAATAAGTTTCTGCCTCATGCTCTGTCACTGACATTCTCGGCGCCGTCTCGCGCAGCCAAGCAGAAGGCTTAAGTATATGCGTACATGGGGCCCTCGCCTGCACCGGGGGTCGCCCAGGGACACTGGACGTCCTGCAAGTCCTCACACCGCTGGTTCTCTGGGGTGGGGGCAGGGGTGCAGCCCCGAAGAAGAGCAGCACGCCTCCCTGGGCACCCACAGTCCGGACAGCCAGCTGTCACGCCTCCCCCTCTTGCATTGCCGCTGGGCTCCAAAGTGACTCCAGCAAAAGGGGCTTCTCCAGGAGCGTGCCACTCAAAGAGCTCCCAGTTCTGCGGGGAATGCGGCCCCGGGAGCATGTGCCCGGAACGCAGTAGCCTAGAGATCCGCCCACCCCCACCCCGGGGTCACACATTGTGCCCCCTCCCACCCTGCCAGGGCTCCCAGGGAAAGGAGGGAAGGTGGGGGTCAGGTGGGCCACTGGGGCTTCCTCCAAGGGGCGAACAGGAAGAGATTGGTGTTGAGTGATTACAGGAAGCAGTGACTGAGGAACAGAGGCTTAAGGGGTACAGAAATCGCCCCTGACCATGGAAGAGGGAGACGGAGGAGCCAGGGGGAGCGGGAAGGGGCCGAGGCTGTGCCCTGACCACTGTCCCTCTAGCCCGGTCTCTGGTGAAGGCTGGGTGGGACGAGGGGCTGCTCGAGAACTAGAGGTGCTGGGCTCTGGGCCAGGGTTTGCGCCAGGGGTGGAGGAGCCACTGTTCTGGTGTGTGCAGAGGGGCCTGGAGTTCAGGCTCTGAGAGCCACCTGACCCAGACCCTGCCTGCCTGCCCGCCACCACGCACTTCAGTACCTCCTGGGCTGGGGTGCTCCTTCCTCCCTTCATTTCCAGGGGTGGGAGGGTCCTAGAACCCTCCACCATCAAATGGCGTAGCCGGGAGGGAAGTTTCGAGGCCCCCGCCGCCCCCCCCACCCCCAGAACGGAGGATGACGAGCTGAGCACAGAACAGGAGTAAGCTTGGAGCTGCGCTGGACGGCAGACGGGAGAGCAGGGAAGCTGGGAGTTAGGACAGCTGCACCTGCTCCCTTCGTTCTCCATCTTCCTGACCCTTACGAGTCTCCCCCCACCAAGGCCTGGCCTCCCTCCTCCAACTGTAGCCCAGCCAGGGGAGCGCCCCGGCCCCATCGTGACACCCCGGCAAGGCCAAAGCTCCTCAGTGCCAGCCATGCCCAGCCTCCCCTTGGACAGCTGACCAGCCCTGACAGCCTCCCTGCTCCTACAGCCCGTCTGTTTCCCTTCCAGGACGAGAACGACAACCCGCCCACCTTCAGCAAGCCTGCCTACTTCGTCTCCGTGGTGGAGAACATCATGGCAGGTAGGGGCCCGGGCCGGGGAGGGTGGGAAGGCGGGAAGCCAGCAGACACACTGTGACCAGTGAGGGGAGCCTTTGAAGAGGTCCAGTTGTCTGCCAGCCAGTGGCTTTTTACAGAGCACCTACTACGTGCAGGCGCTCCGCCAGGTACTTCAGCTACAGTCTAGCAGGGGGGAGAGTGGCCACCCATCAATAACGGAACAACCTTGGTCAAACAAGAGTGTACGGAGAGTACGGGGTTACCGTGCTGTGAGGCCACAGTGGCCAGAGGCGGGCCTGAAGGATGGCCTAGGTTCCTATGTGAGAGCAAGAAGGGCCATGTCTCCGGTGGCAGGGCCCAGCTTGCAGACCCAGGACCACCAGCTCCACATTCAGGTCCCAGGGGACCCGCTCTGTCGTTGGGGCAGGCTGACCACTCACCCTTACATCCAGGGCCAGCTAAGTCCCTCCATATGGTGGGGGGACTCCCATATCAGGACTTGTCTGGAGGGTGACCTTGTGTGGCACCATGGGGCCTTCTCAAGACAGCCTCCAGATGCCTTCCTGGTGTCTGATGACTTTCTTGGGTGGGTGCCAGGCCGTGCCCAGCCCACCCTTCCCTGACCCAGTCAGGCATCCCCTGGAGAGTATCACTGCTGAAGCAACCCCTTGCATTCTCCAACCATCCCCATGGCCTCTGCTTAGGAGAGGCCTTCATCATGGCACGTGATCCTCTTCCACTTTGTGCTTAGATAAAGGGTGTGTCAGGGCCCGTGTACCTGTCCCCCTGCTCAGGGTAAGACTGAGAGTCAGAGGCCTCACAATGCCTGGAAGGGGCCAGAATGGCCTGTCTCACAGCCCCCTGCCTGGGACTCATATGGGCCTGTCTCACAGGCCCTTATACCCCTGGGACTGTTGATTTATCCATGCAATGGCATCCCTCAACTTGTGTCTCAGTGCAAGCTGCGGGGAGCCTGCACCCTGCATACCTTCCCCTAGGAGCCTTACCAACAACCCCACAAGCTAGCTTTATCGGGAGACCCATTTCACAGAGGAAGAAGCTGAGGCTTGGTTGCCAGAGGTCCCCCGGGAATCCAGCCCAGGTGCCATGAGTCTAGAAGCCCACATGCTGAGCCTCCTCAGTGTGGCAGTTAGGTGGGGGCGGGGGGGGGGAGAGACAGGAGGGGGCTATAGCCCACAGCCCAGCAGATATGGCCTTGGAACAGGCCACTCTCAGGGGCTGGTGAGGGCAACTGGAAAGGCTGGTACCCTGACCCAGCGTTTTACAGAGATGGACATGAAGGTGAGGGCCTTAACTAGACATTAAAGAGAAAATAAAAACCCTTATAAATTCCCCCTTGTGAATAAGATGAAATAAGAACCAAAATTGAATACAATAAAGGTGGAATAATTTAATATAGGGCTTCATTTCTTTTTGACTCAAAGTCAAAGCTGGTCAGTCTGAGTGTATTTTCTCTGGTGAGAGGCAGAGAGAGGTAGGGGGAGAGGAGTGGTACGCTCTCTGGGAGACAGGGGAGGTGCCAACAGCTGCAGGTATAACCCACCCCAGGTTCCAGGACCCCCTCCCATGGAGCCTTGTCCCCATGCAGTCCGGGGAGCTCTGGTGGTTGAGCCCGCTCTCAGCCCTGGGTGCCCTTGTGGCAGGATTCCTGCCCCCTGAAGGCTGGTCAGCAGGAGGTCCCAGGTCCTGCTCCTCCAGGGCCTGGGGCTGAGAGCCTGGGGTGAGCACTCCTCTCCACCCCCACCCGTTTGTCTCCTGGAAGGAGCCACAGTGCTGTTCCTGAACGCCACGGACCTGGACCGCTCCCGGGAGTATGGTCAGGAGTCCATCATCTACTCCTTGGAGGGCTCCTCCCAGTTTCGGATCAACGCCCGCTCAGGTGAGAGCCCTCATCCTGGTCCTCGTGGCTCCCCGTGCCCAGCCCGGGACCTGCCCCTGAGCCAAGTCCTCGCTCCCTTCCCCAGGAAGCCCTCGTTTGGAGCATGCCAGCTTTGAGCACCTGCTTGCATCCCTGACACATTAACTTGAGTGTGATTACTGACCTTACCCCCTTAAAAAATTGGAACATGAACGTGTCCATTAGAGGATGGGTTTCAATGGTGAGGAGCCCTGTGATGTTTAAAACGTGTTCCGTTCTACAAATAGCTGGCTGACATACCACCCGATGGGGGATTACTTCCTCAAGCCTATGCGCCCCCCTCCCTCAGTCACTGACCTCTTTCTTGAACCCTGGCTCCTCTTAACACAGCATGTGCCTTGATTTCCCCCTGCAGAATGAGGATGGTCATGTCAGGGATGTAGTGTGGATCACATGAGTTATTATAGGACGTGATAGAGCAGTCCCTGGCACACAGTACGTGCTAACACAGTTACGTCTCCCTCATCATTCTCTCTGGTCTTTTTGCCCAGGGGCCCGCATCCCTGCTCAGTCCATAGAGCTCTCACCTTTCTTCCCCTTTTCCATGTGCGCCTCTCCAGATCTCTCTCTCTTAAAGCTGGGAGGGGAATGGGGAGGAAAAGAACAACAAGAGACCCCAGGTCAGAAGCTGGGAAGGAATAAGAGGCCCCTGGTTATTCATTTATGAATTCTTTTGGGTGTCGGTAGGGGCCTGCTCTCTGCCAGGTGCTGGGGCACAGGATGGACTCAGACATGGCCTGCCCTCCTGGGGTTCCCGGTCCACTTAGTGGGCATGCAAGGCCCCCGCTTCTAAATACCTGTTGCTCTCTTAGGTAAGGGCACTGGAGGCGCCAAGCAGGCCAACCATGAAATCTCAGTGATGCAACACAACAGAAATTCTAACACACACAGTGGCTCAATGCCTTGTTCAGTGGATGGCCTTGCATGTGGCAGTTCTGGGACCCAGGCACCTTCCATGTTGTGACTCCAAGGTCACTGCAGAGGGGAAGAGAGCCTGGAGTGCTAAGGAGATGTGTATGGGCCAGGCCTGGAGGTGACAGGCATCACTTCTGTCCATGTCTTATTGGCCAGGACCAGGCAATAGGAAGCCTGGGAAGTCATTTCTGGCCGCCCCTGCTACAGGTGACCTGGGGGCATGGGGCACTAAGTCTTCCTGTGATCCATGCCCTTGCCCCCCCAAGCCTGTACCCCATCCAAGTCTGCCTTCAGGCTTTCTTTCATCCCCTTTTCCTGGAAGCTAGGGGAGCACATGGTACTGACACGTACAAAACTAAACTTGTCCAGAGCCATCCTGAGCCTCTCACTCCACCTCGGACAGAATGGAGGGCCTTCCTCCCTGCTCTCAGGAGCCTCTGCCCACCATGAGCCCGCATTTCCAGGGGACTCCAAAGAATACCGTTCATTAACATGAGCCAGGTGCTCAGACCAGCAGCACCCCAGTTCACCGCCTTCACCACTCTGAGGCCGGTGCTAGCATCACCCTTATCTTCCAGCTGATAAAACTGGCGCATAGAAGAGGTTAAGTAACCTGATCAAGGACTTGGAGAGCTTGAACTTCTGACTCCGGAGCCCAAACTTTAAATGTTAGACTCTATAAGCCACATTAGAGCCACATGCTGCTGCCCACATTTAGTGATGGGCGCACTGACCTTTCAGCACCCGGCTGCCTCCCCAGCCGGGGACCACATCTCCACCCTGGAGCCTTTAATAATGGCAGGGACATTTTCTTGCTGCCTTAACACAGCTCCTTCAGCTCTGAAGGTGTGTTTTCCTCTGAGCTCCTCGGTAAAATTAGCCAGGCCTGCTCCACAAAGGTGGCCTTAATTGGATCTAATTTCCCAGACAGGAGGAGCTATCTATCATGCCGACAAGTTCACGTTTAAAACTTTTTAGAGATTAATTTCTTCCTCGCCCTGCCAATTAATTGATACCACCCCAGCAAGGAATAGGGCTCGGTGGGCAGACCTTTGCCAGTCTTTTGTTTCTGGCCTTAGTGCCTTCACTGACCTGTCCCCCCACACCCCTCAGCTCCCCGTTCGGCCCTGTGCAGGCCAAAGGACAGGCCAAATTGACAGGGAGGGAAACGTGAGACCATCTGGTCCAGCTCCCTTGTTGTGTGATAGAATAAACCAAGCACAGAGAAGTTGAGTAACTTGCCTCAGGTGGCACAGCTCAGGCAAGGGGGATTTAAAAATAAATAAATAGGGAACCCTGGGTGGCGCAGCGGTTTGGCGCCTGCCTTTGGCCCAGGGCGCGATCCTGGAGACCCGGGATCGAATCCCACGTCGGGTTCCCAGTGCATGGAGCCTGCTTCTCCCTCTGCCTGTGTCTCTGCCTCTCTCTCTCTATCATAAATAAATAAAAATTTAAATAAATAAATAAAATTAAAAATAATTATAAATAAATAAAGGATGGCATGCAGTCTTTCCTGCCTTGGGGAATTCTCACAGTCTGTGGGAGGGCAGTAAGCATTTTCTGCATGCTGGGAGCTTTACCTACAGCTCTGTGAATCATTTAATCCTCACAAGACCTCTGGTTCGAAGGCATACTAATCTCCATTTTACAGATGAGAAAATTGAGGCTCAAAGAAATTAAGTAACTTTTCCAAGGCCAAACATGTAGAAAGGGCCATAATTGGAATTCGGATCTGGGTCTCGCTGTCCTCAAAGCCTAGCTCTTTCCCATGGCCCACGTCAGAGGGAAACGGCCTGCCTGCCACCATGTACTGAGGCTGGCACAGACCAGCTCACATCTGCTCCTGAGAGCCAAATTCAAGCATCTCCCCCATTCCTTGTTCCACGAACCAAGTGGCCCTGGTGGGAGTATTTATGCCATGGAAATCAGGAAATGCCTTTTTTTTTTTTTTTTTGGTGCTTGCTCTGAAGAGCTGATTATCAAACACCAGCACACCACTGCACATCTTTACCAAAGTGACCTCCATGTTTCAGTTACACCGAAATAGAAAGAAAAGCCAGAACCAGGCTGATCAATGGCCAGTTTTAAATGTTTGCATTTAAGGGAATAACCCATTTATACACTAAAAAAAAAAAAAAAAAACCTCAAGGCCATAGAATCGTGTTACAGGGTCACTGAGGAAATCATAACTATTCTCCGTGCGTTATAGGTTGTCTCATCCAGTAACGAGTCACCATGTGAGCGTGTGTAAGACACATCACATGTTTCAGTGCTGTCCCTGTTTCTGTGACTATCTCAATAAACAGGGCCAGGCGCTGTTCTAAACCTTCAGTGATGTCGACTAAATTAATCCCAGGACAGCCCTCTGGGGCAGTGCCTGTCACCTTGCCCTTTTGACCAGATGGAGAAACTGAGGCATGGAGGACTTAAGTAACAAGTCTCAAGTGACAGAGTCAATAACGTCAGAAGTCTAAAAAAAGAGGTCTTTGGGGCTGGGGGTGCTTTCGCCCTATTCCCCAGCCCCTAACCCCATCATCGGCCTAGATGGTCACACATTCAAAAGTACTTCCCTTCCCTAACATGGAGTTATTATTGGGGATTCCAATTCCCAGGGCCTGGGTTCCATCCCCCCTCCCTTCAGGATGGCCACCTCACACCCCCAGCACCCGCACACACACGTGAACACACACCTGCACACACGCCGCCAGCTGGTGCAGACATCTCTGCTCTCTCCCCCTCCCACCCCAACCCTCTGTCCTGCAGGCGAAATCACCACCACCTCCCTGCTTGACCGCGAGACCAAGTCTGAATACATCCTCATCGTCAGAGCGGTGGACGGGGGTGTGGGCCACAACCAGAAAACTGGCATTGCCACCGTGAGTGCCCACGCCCTCCGTGACCCCTGCTCCCCAGCCCACCTGCAGGGCTCATCTGTGTCCTGAGGCAGTGTGAGGCAGGTGGGAGAGGGCCGAGGGTGGCAGTGACCAAGTCACTGTCAGCCAGGGGTGGCCCTGGAGCCACAGCAGCTATGGGGAAGAAAGGCATTCCCACCTGGGGCGTGGGGGACTTAGGAAGGACAAATGTCCCTCCCCTGTCCCCAGAAGACCAGCTGGGCAAGTAAAAGGCATGCGTTCCTCTCTTGGGGCTCCTAGAAGAAGCAGGTATCCCTGCCGGAATGAGTGGCTCAGAACAGGAAGTGGGGCCCCTAACCTTGGCCACCCCTAAGCCTGGTGCTGAGAAAGGATCCCTAGGCTTCCCTACTGTAAGTAGGTAGGACTCTTATCGGCCCAGAACCCCCATGCATGGCTGTCCCACCAATGAGCCTCAGCTATAGGCTAGTGGAAGCTAGTGGAAGGACATCCGAGGGTCCTGACTGAGCTCTGGGCTGCAGAAGAGACCGGGGTGGATGCAGTGAGAAGCAGAAGACCTGCTGACGGGTCACCCTAGCTGCCTCTGCTCCCTGATCCTACCTGCTTCCTCAGGCTCTCCCTCGGGAGGCCTCCCTGACCTCACTGCATGGCCCTCACCCAACCCCCATCCTCACCTGGCCAGGGGGGCTGGGATCAGTATCGCTCAGACAGGGGCTTGGCAGAAAAATCCCCAGAACCCCGTTCAATCCCGGGAGGCCCCTGCTAATAGGATTCTGAGCCCCATAAATAATTTACCTGGGTGGCAGGTGAGCAGGGAAATTGCTTGGCTCGTGGCTGAGACTGACGGAATCTCAAGGGATCCCACCAGGCCCCCCACCCTGTCGGTCACCTTCCACCAAGCCTGGGATGGGTGAGAGAAGGCCTGGGTTACAGGGAGAATTTCAAGGGTCATTTCATTCCTCCATCCGCTTCCTGATGGGACAGCACCTAAACTCGATCCTCTTGGAGGGGCCTGGCTCCCTCCTGTCCTAGCAAGCCCAGGCGGTGTCTCCAGAGCCCCCAAAGTGGGTGGGGCCCATGGGATCCCTGCTGAGATGCCCCATGGGCACCTGAGTGTGCCTTCTCCTAGGCCCTGCCCCTGCACAGCTCAGCCCGGTGCCTCCCTCTCTGCCCCTTGTCGCCTCGCAGGTGAACATCACCCTTCTGGACATCAATGACAACCACCCCACCTGGAAGGATGCCCCCTACTACATCAACCTGGTGGAGATGACCCCTCCAGACTCTGACGTGACCACGGTAAGGGGGGGTGGGCAGCGGAACTTGGAGCTGCCCTTCTCAGGGTGTCTGCCGTTCCTGTGTGGGTCGCCCTATGGCTGGTCCACATAGGACTGATAGACTTAATGTTTCCCTCTGAGCCAGCCTGTGGAGCAGACTTCCAGAAGCTCTCTTGCACGGCGAAGGTAATCAGAGGCTGGCGGGAAGCCCTCACCCAGTCCTCAGAGGCAGTGGGCTTCAGGCTTTATCAAAGGGAGCATAAGCTAGTGCCCGTGCTTGCCCGAGCCCCCAGGACTCAGCGTGTGCCCACAGGAGGGCCGCCACCCTCCCCTAGCAAGGAGGCTCTGTCCCCCCACCTTTCCTTCACTGTTTCTGTCACTGTGGCGGGGTGTTGGAAGTTCACCCAGGGATTTTCTGGTCTGGAATATTCCAGGTTGGCCCGGGGCCCCTGTGCGTGTTGCGTGCACATACCTCAGAGTGCTGCAAGCAGGGGGAGGACTCAGAGTGGGGAGCAGGGGAGACGTGGCCAAAGTCTCAGGAGACCACAATAGAGCCAGAATCTTGGGGAAGATGAGGAAAGCCAGGGTTGAGCACCACACCTGATCTGCTCTGGGGTTCACATTTGTGAGGTCCTTTCCTCCCCTCACACTTGTGCCCCACCAGGCTTCATTTGAGGTGGCTTATCCCCAGGAGCCAGTTCCAGAGCCCCTCAGCCAGCCGTGAGGGCCATGAACCTGATAGTTCATGGTAACCCCGGATATTGAATGCCTGCAATGTGCTGGGCACTGCCCGGGGGCTTCTCATGAATTCTCTCCTATCCTCATTATGATCTCACGGGGCAGGTGGGACTCATGGCTCCCGTCATACTATGGAGGAAACTGGGTCTTGGGGTTTGAGCAGGGTCCCAGAGCTAGTAAGAGATTGCACCAGGACTTGAACCCAGGTCTGTCTGACTTGGAAACCACCTGGCCCAGCGCTACATCTCTGCTGGCTCAGGGTGCCCTGGCAGGTGGCTCAGGTCCTGAGGGACTGGAGAACGTGGGTGGGATGGGAGAAGACAGGGGTTATTTCACACCCACATCTCCAGGAAGGCTGCCCCACCCGGTGAGGCCTAGCCACCCCACCTGGACCCCTCACCAACCACAGCCAGTAGGGCCACGGTTCCACGTGTTCAAGATTTGAATGGCTCTCAGCTGTGGGTGGGTCCCCATCCCGGAGATTCCAATAGGGAGTGGGTCAGGGATATGGAATCTGGTTTTTCAAAGGCCCCCTTGGAAGGATTCTTTCAAGCTTGGGGCCAGCTGCGGAAACCACTACCTTATGCCGGTTCCTCGGCTCTCTCTATGGCTCCAGATCTTGTGGGAACTCTCTGCTGCCATCTCGTGGGCACTTGGGCTCTGGCCAACCAACTCCCACCGGGGACCCCAAAAGAGCCTACCTTGGAACACCTGTCCAGTCAATTCTTACCTTTCCTTTATGTCTCTGAGAAAATCCTCCCAGAGGGAACTTAGGGGCAAGTGAGGCAGGTGTCCTGCGTGGGAGGAAGTGGCTGCATGTGATACCAGCCAGGGGATGCCTTTTTTGAAGAATCCACCTTCCAGACAAAGAGGTTTGCGGGATGGGGGCTGCACTTGGCCTTGGGCATTTCCCAAACCTAGTCCCCAGCGGCCCTCTCTGGTCTCCAGCCTTCCTCACAGCCTTCTGAGCCACTAGCAGATGTGGACAGTGGACCAGAGCCTGCTACCCAGTGCCTCATCGCTCTCCCAGAACCTCACCAGACCTTGTATAGTGGGCACCTGCTGTGTACCAGGCCCCCTGCTCGCCAAGCTCGGGGGTACAGAGCGTAGCAACGCTCCCCTCCATTTCCCCCATCACTTTTCTGCTTGAACCCACCACTGATTCCCATCTCACCTGTGTTAAAGTCACAGTTCTTTTTTATTTTTTTAAGTGTGTGTGTGTGTGTGTATTTTTTAAGATTTTATTTATTCATAAGAGAGGCAGAGACCTAGGCAGAAGGAAAAGTAGGCTCCTTGCAGGGAACCTGATTCAGGACTCGATCTCCTGACCCCAGGATCGTGATCTGAGCTGAAAGACGCTCAACCACTGAGCCACCCAGGAGTCCCAAAGCCACAGTTCTTACCAGATGGAACTGCCCCACTTTTACCTCTGGGGGAGATAGACATGTGACCCCATCACTCAGTAAAGGCTTGTCAGGGCCATTCCTCCCCAGGTGGGGCAGCTACCCAGTGGGGATTCAAGCATTTCAGTGACCAAGAGCTGAAAAAAAAATGTCATGACTCAGAAGTTCAAACAGAAAAGGGCAAAGTCAAAATTAAAACTCATTATAGCAAACATCTACCAAATGTATTATGAGAATTTCAGCAATTATGAAATTTAGTGTTTGGAAAAATTTCATCGCATTTTAAGGACAAATTGTAGGTTCGATTTTCTAGAATTCTTTTTTTTAATATTTTATTTATTTATTCATGAGAGACACAGAGAGAGAGAGAGGCAGAGACACAGGCAGAGGAAGAAGCAGGCTCCATGCAGTGAGCCCAATGTGGGACTCTATCCAGGGTCTCCAGGATCACACCCTGGGCCAAAGGCAGGCGCTAAACCGCTGAGCCACCCAGGGATCCTGATTTTCTAGAATTCTTAAGAATTTTCAGAATTCTCTGGAATGCCTTGGAATGGGTGATGTGACCCACTGAGTGATGCTGTGTGACCTTGAGTCTGGCTTATGCATCCCTGATCTGCTTTCCCTTTGGGGGAGATAGGCCAGGAAACTAGAAATCAAGAAGCCCATACATCAGTCCAATTTGTCATAGCAAAATACTTTCAAAAGGAACAGTCCTAGGGATCCCTGGGTGGCGCAGCAGTTTAGCGCCTGCCTTTGGCCCAGGGTGCGATCCTGGAGACCCGGGATCGAATCCCACGTCGGGCTCCCGGTGCATGGAGCCTGCTTCTCTCTCTGCCTGTGTCTCTGCCTCTCTCTCTTTCTCTGTGTGACTATCATAAATAAATTAAAAAAAATAAAAAAAATCCATATACAAAAGGAACAGTCCTAAAATTTGGTTAAATTTTATGGCATGTGGGCACTTATATGTGGGTACACACTGGGGCCCCTGAGAAGCCTTCTGAGACCACACGGTGGCCCTAGGTGAAGCAGGAGCTGTGGCCGAGATGGGTAAAGGGAATTGGGGGTGGTGTGATGTCACACCTCTGGGTGACGTCAGGGAGGAGGCTGTGTTTGCATAGAGACTGCCACCTCCTGACGCGTGTCCCCTACCACCCTTCCCACCCTCAGTACCCCTACCATGCATGTTGGCCTTTCAGCCTCAACCTTCTGAACCCAGTAAACTCTTCAGAGCCTCTGCACAAGCCCCTGCAGAGCATGCCTCTCCCTCTACCCCCCACCCTGCTTTTCCCTGGCTGCCTCTTTCTCCTCTACCTTTCCCAGCCTAAAATGCCACTTCCTTGGAGAGGCCCTCCCTGACCACCCTGCCTAAAGTAACTCTGCTCGCTCTCTTATACTGTGTCTTCCAGAGCCGATCCCACATTGGTGTTTCTTTATTAGGTTCCTGCTCAGTGATTTAGTGGGCAGCGTCTGGTCTCAAAATGTCTAGGGTCTAATCCCAGCCCCATCCCTTACCAGCTGTGTGACCTTAGGCAAGTCACCTCGCCTTTCTGTACTCCAGTCTTAACCTAGAAAATGTGGCCAGTAAGTACCAACCCCCTGATAGACGTGTGGTTCGTACTTGACAAGCCAAATGGTGAGTGGCAGATTAAGGATAGCTATGGTCACCACGCCTCCCCTGCTGGAACCATACCTGTCTTGTTTGCTCTTGAACCCCAGTGCCTAGCTCGGTGCCAGGTGCATTGTTAAGAATTTAAAAATTGGCAAATGCTGGTCATTGAGGGGCTTGGTGACTCTTCTTCCCCAGTTCCCCCAGCCCCCCAGCTCTACAAGGTCAGGCCCGGTCTTCCTTGTCAGAGGGAGATTAGGCTGTGTGACTCACCAGTCTCTCAAACGCAGGTGACTTTTCAGAGCTGTGCACAGACAAGTGTGTACCTGCATCCTGGTGGGCCAGGAGCTATCTGGGCGTGTGGGTCAGTGTGCACACGGGTGTGCCCAGGGCATGCGCCCCCACGGGCAGGAGCTTGCAGCTTGGTCCTTCTCTGTGTGCGAAGGAGATTTTGGGCCAACCCTCCCTCCTAGCTGCTGCAGGCTCCTTCAAGGACCTGGCTGATGGGCATTGATTTAGAGCCTTTCAAAGCCCTCCAGCAAAATAAGAGAGGGGAGAGGGAGAGAATTATTCCCTGTCAGGCCAGGAGAAAAATGAGAGTGTGACATGGGAAATGAAGAGGGGAAGTGGTGAGACTCTACACAGTTGCCCAGCGGGGAGGCTGCAGGAGGGGCCTGAGCTGGCTGCCCTCTCCCGTGCCCCGACCCTGCCAGGGAGTGGGCCAAGAGGTGGAGGCCGGGGCCCAGCCCCCACCTAGGGTCCTGCAGAAGCAGCCACCCCAGGCACCCTCAGGCATATGCACTCAAGGGGCAGGGAGAGGAGGGGAGAAGCCCACCCCCTGCCCCACCACGTAAGACTGATCTCTGCGTGATCCGCAACAAGCTACTAGCCTGGAACAGCTCCTTTAACTGTGCTGTGCCTCAGTTTCCCCATCCAGAAAAGTGAGGATTAAAACCTCGCCCTGCTCCTCCTCTAGAGAGAAGCTCTGTAGAAACGCAAGTATTGCCGGTCAGCAGGATGACTCTGCCTGGCTGAAGTGACACCTGGAGTGCCTAAAAGCCCTGCCTCCTGGTGTCGATGTGGGGGTCGTGGGGTGCCCTCTATAGAGACTAGGGGAACTAAGGTGACCTGCCCCACAGCACAGCGAGGGCCCCTCAGGCCTGCCCCCCAGCCCTGCCCCCTGGTGCAGCCGGGCACACCCACTCCCCTCCTACCCCTCTGAAGCAGAAGGAGCCTCTGCAGAACTCAGCACCAGCCCTGGCCTCTCTCCCTGACCACTCCGGGCCCAGGGGCAGATGGGGGCCCTCAGCCAGGGCAGCCCATCTGTCTGTTCTGGTCTGGTGGCCCTGGAGACACGTCCGGCTGGGGACTAAGCCAGAGGAGGGACAGATTCTGCTGCCAAAGCACAAAAGGCCCCACATCAAGTAAGATGAAGGAGCTGACGAGGCCAGGCTGTCATCGCCCAGTGTCCTGGAGTTAAGAATGACACCGTCCTGATGCAGCCCTGGGGACTGCGGTCACCACCCCCTTCCGTTGATCTTGTTCACCTCCGGTGCCACAGTGACCTCTGCAGCACAAGGCAAAGGATGAGCGGGGGGGGGGGGGGGGGTCCTGCTGTCCTGGGACCCCAGGAGGCCTCCAGGGTGGGGGCTGGGGCAGCCTCAATGGTGGTGCTGTGTGACCTTGAGTCTGCCTTGTGCGTCCCTGAGTTCTGCTTTCCCTTTGGGGGAGGTAGATGTGAGAGAGGTTTTCTCCAAAGCAGGAGACACGCAGGCATGGGGACGGGAAGAGAATGGGTTATGGGGGTCGCCCTGGGTTAGGTGGGCACTCAGGTGCACCCCTTTCTGGGATGAGGCTTACAAGTGGAGAACCCAGTGGGGAGCCTGGAGAGCTAAAGACCCTCCCCCGTTCTCAGGTGGGAGATGCAGTGCCCTCTTTCCTCCAGCTTCCCGCCCCCCCCCCCGCCCACAACATCCCCAGCTTGCTGAGACCCACCTTCTAAACCAGGGGGGAGAGGGGGGAGAAGCTTGTCCATGGCTCCCTTCCCCTGCCCTGTCACTCCTGGTGTCACAGAAGCCTAATTCTTTTCAAACTGACTCACAAAAAAGTCCAAAGGAAGGAAGGGAAGTTTTGAGGAGGAAGATCCACGTCCCCTAATCCAGGGTTTCAGATTGTCTCCGAAGCTCAGCCAAAGGTTCAAACTTTTCAGGCCTCCCCAGCCTCCTGAAGAATTCCTAGTCTGCAAAGAATTCCATGATCATGGACCTACTGGTCACCCCCTGCTCCCCCAAAAGCCCACGAATGTGTTACCCCACATGTCTGGAAAGTAGTGACATGGAGATGTGCTGCCGGCTGCTAGCGTGGGCTCTGGAGGGACCCTGAGCCACTTCTGAGACCTTGGGAGCCTCCCTGAGCCTCATCTGTGAAATGCACCTAATTGTAGAGCCTCCTCACAGGGCAGCTGACATGGGACCTGCGGAGGGCCTGGCATTTATGAGACGTGGAGAGCTCCCTATACATGGGGGTGTGCTAGGTGCCGCTTCTACAAATCGGAAGGCTGGGGCTTAAGTGGGGAAAGGGACTGGCCTGAGGGCAAAACTGAGCGGGTGAAGACACCAAGGAGCTCCCACTGCTGGCCCATCTTGTGAACTCCCTGCCTGCCCACCAGGATCCTGCCAGGGCCGGGAGGAAGGGAGGGAGGGACACCGCCAGATGCCTGCAGGCAGCCCAGGGCACAGAGATGCCCTCCCAGGCTGGGCTCAGTAGAGCATCGGTCCCCTCCTGGGCAGGTGGTGGCCGTGGACCCGGACCTGGGGGAGAACGGGACCCTGGTGTACAGCATCCAGCCGTCCAACAAGTTCTACAGCCTCAACAGCAGCACAGGCAAGATCCGCACCACCCACGTCATGCTGGATCGGGAGAACCCTGACCCCGATGAGGCGGAGCTGATGCGCAAGATTATCGTCTCTGTCACCGACTGTATGTGTCCCTGGCAGCCCCACACACCTTGGCTGTGGCCCTGACTCTCAGGGTCCGGGGGGGCCTCCCCCAGTGACGTGTCCTCCCTGTGTCATGATAAGAATGGAGTCACGCTTGCTTGCCAGTTGGAGCTCCCACAGCACCCTCGGGGGAGTGGAGGGTGGAAGTGGCTGGGGGCGCCAGGCCCAGGCTGCTCCCTGAAAGGACCACTGGGATGGAAAAGTCTCTGAGCCTGCCTCCTTCTCCCCACTCCCCTTTCTCCCTGTCCCTTTGTCTTCTGCACCCCTCTTTCCCTCTCCCCGGCACCCCCAGGCGGCAGGCCCCCCCTGAGAGCCACCAGCAGTGCCACAGTGTTTGTGAACCTCTTGGACCTCAATGACAACGACCCCACTTTTCAGAACCTGCCTTCCGTGGCTGAGGTGCTGGAAGGCACCCCGGCGGGGGTCTCTGTCTACCAGGTGAGTTTCCCTTTCCTGGCCCGAGCTCCTGGTCTGTCTCCCTCACCTCCCCAGCCAAAAAGTGGGCAGAGGATCCCCTGGGTGCCTAGCCTCGTGTTGCACACGTTGCAGTGAGGGGGAAATGCCAGCCAAGACCCCTGGGCAGCACACGGTCTGTGCCAGGCTTGGAGAGCCAGTGCTCTGAGACATGGAATGGAGGCTTCCTGAAGGAGCAGGAGGGGCTTGAGCTGGGTCTTAAAGGACAGGTGGATTTGGAGAGGTGGGGGGAGAGCACCAGGGGAGCTTCAAGAATTCTGGGAGGCCAAGCCAGGCAGGTCTGGCCCCAGACCCTCAACACCCCGAGCCTGTAGCTGATTCTAGAACCCAGAGGTTGACGGATGAAGCCCAGGCCCTCTGCCCCCATGAGCAGGCCACTCTCCTGTGCTCTCCCATAAGCCCCCAAAGCAGCTCCACACGGCGGGGAGCACTCTTTGCAGGAGGCTGACAAGTACCTGTGGCCAAGAAGGACTAGGGCCCGATCTTGAACTCGGCCCCTCTGCCTCCTGCTCCATCACCCTCTGTCAAGTCCGTCCTGAAGGTGCTCATTCAGGAAGGATGGTGCCCTCTCAGAAATGCTGGAAGGCCCTCAAGGACATGGGCTCTGGAGTACACCGACACGAGTGTGGACCCCAGCTCCTCCACTTGTGTGCTGTGGGACCTAGAGCAAACTGCCTCGCTGGGCCTCAGTTTTCTCAGCTGTGAAACGGGGATCGTAGCAGTACCTGCCTGGCTGTGCTGCGGGAATTCGGTCAGACGCGCGTACAGCCACCCGGCCCCTGGGCTGCAGGAGATCACGGCAGCGCTTGCGCTCGTCGGCAGGTGTCTGCTGTGAGGGCTTGTACTTGAGACACAGCGGGATCCAGTAGCAAAGGGTTAGCCTGATTTCACTCGGAGAAGACAGGGTCGTGTGTCAGGATGCCACAGCAGGTAACCTTGGTGACGCCCTGCAGGCGTGCTGGGCCTCAGTTTCTTCATCCGTGAAAGGAGAGCCGATAAATCATCTTAGAAGGTCCCAGGGAGCAATCGGTCCAGCAGGACATTCTCCCAAACCCCCAGCAGGGGGGGCTGCGATCCAAGGACCAGCGGCCAGTGGCTTAGGGGCAGGTGGGTGAGAGAGCCAATGAGCCCCAGGGTGTCTCCGGGGCTCACAGAGGTGCCGAGGGCGCAGCTTCTGAGTTCCCACAGGAACTGGCTTAGGCACGGAAAGATGGTTCAAGGAGCTGGGGCGTCTCACTTGGGAACTGTCCCCCGATACAGGAAGAGGGCTCTGACCAGAGCTGTGCATTCCCCAGTCCCCTCTACAACCTGGGCTGGTAGTGAGTCCTGCTGGAGGGGTGGAGACCTTTCTCCAGGAATTAGAGCTGTATGCAGATAGGTTAGAAGTAGTGAGCCTCCCGTCCTGGGAAGCGTTCAAGTTGAATGGACACCCTCCTGACACCATCCAGCTTGTTGGATGTGAATTAGACTAATGACCTTGACATTGTCTTTCCGTCCTGGGAGTCTTGGCTGAATCCAAAGCTTTAATTTTGACTGTTAATTCACATTTTCTCCAAGGTCTCGAATCCTCTTCCGTGCTGTATCAGGGTCTCGAGGCAGGAGGGCTCTCATCAGCACTAGAGGTGCAGATGGGAACGGCGTTAGGGATTTGGGAGGATGCTTGCCTACACGTGGCCTCAAATTACTTTTTCAAGACAATAAACAAATTATCAAGTGACTTTTAAAAACTCTTTTCTGCCATCCTGTCTAACGAAGCGGGGAGAGAGCGCTGCCGACTGTTCTATGTAGCGGAGCTACACGAGGTGGAAGGGCTCTTGGAGCCGCAGCAGCTGGGAAGCCGCTTAACATGATGGGGCTAGGAGCCCCAGCCAGCCAGGGTCCCATGTGGGGGGGCCTTGCCCAGGAGCGTTTTGAAGGGGAAGGCTATGGGGAGGTAGACTCTTGTTCTAGAAACTGCCATCCCCACCCCACCCCACCCTGGGCCCTCTTGATGTATCTGGACGCCTTCAGCTCTGACATGCTGCCCTCTTAGCACCTGGGAGGGTGCACCGGGGACAGTGGTGTGGCCTGAGGCTTGGAGGGAAGCAGCCGCGTCTGGCCAGAGCTCAGCACGGGTCAGTGGGAAGGAGGGGGCACTCCTCACATCCCAACCCCTCACATGGCCCCTGCTTTCCCCCAGGTGGTGGCCATCGACCTGGACGAGGGCCTGAACGGGCTGGTGTCCTACCGCATGCAGGTGGGCATGCCCCGCATGGACTTCCTCATCAACAGCAGCAGAGGCGTGGTGGTCACCACCAGCGAGCTGGACCGTGAGCGCATCGCTGAGTACCAGCTGCGCGTCGTGGCCAGCGATGCGGGCACCCCCACCAAGAGCTCCACCAGCACGCTCACCATCCGAGGTGAGGGCCGGGGGTGCCGGGCAGGGTGGGGAGCCACTGCCTGCTGTCTCCGTCGATATGGGTCCAGGGTGCCTTGCTGATGGGGCACCCTCCTCCACCGTGCCGTGCAACACCGCCTTCTCTGCCTCCACCAAGTCGAAAGCACCAGCAGAGCCTTCTCCCTGCCCGGCCACTGCCTCAGTATCCCCGGGGGCCTGGACCCACAGCCCTGCACCCTCTTTGATCACAGCCTCTTTGATCCTGGGTGTCACCAGCAGGCAGGGGTAGAGCCCTGCACCCTCTGTCTGGGCAGGACCGAGGCCACTTACTGTTTCTCCTCTGTTCCGGTCATGTCTTTAATTCTTGGGAGAAAACAAGGACGTTGATGGGAGCTGTGGCCAAAGGGCCAGAGCTAATCACAGAGAAGTAGGTGCGGAATGTAACGGCCAGATGTGGCCTGTTCTCCAGCACACAGGCCGGCGCCCGTCCTGGCTCCTGCCTGCCCCAGCGGGACTGGCGCGGGTCAGGGTAGCCTCAGTACAAACATTTACCCTCCTTAGTCACAACCCAAGTCGTGACTACGCGTCCTCTCATCGTCCCACGCTTGCCTTGGGGGCTCCTGGTGCCAGTTTGGGGACCCACTTGCGTGCCAGGATTGGCAGGAGGTGCTCGGTCCCCTCAGAGAGGGCCCCGGGGGATTTTTCCCCAGGCCTCAGCAGAAGCCACGTCCTGCACAAGCTGATCATTTCTCCTGGTGTTATCACAACAAGGAGCCAAAGCAGGGGGGTGGGGTCATTTCACTGTGAAGATTGTCCTAAGTCCCATCAGGTGAGAAAACAAATCTTAAAGGGAAATTAGACTTTTCTGGAGGCGGGCGGAGATCCTCCAAGCCAGCTGTTTTCCCAGGACTAGGGGTAGGACTCCCCAAGACCCCAACTCTGCCACTCCCTTACTATGTGACTTGGGACAAGTGACTCAACTGCTCTGAGCTCCTCCCCTCCTCTGTCTGGTGTGTCTATTCGTGCCTGCCTCGTGAGGGTATTCGGAGGGGCACACGGGGCACAAGTGTACGGGCAGCACTTAGCACAGGCTCAACACATGGGAAGAGCTGAGATGTCACTGTCATCGCCATCATCATGACCGGTGTCATGAGATGCGTACTGGAAAGAGCCCCTGGGGCTTTCTGCCCCGCCTTGAACAGCATCCCCGGCAACAAACCGCCAGGGGAACAGGACTGTGGGAGGCCGAGGAGCTCTGGTCAGCCCTGCCCTGACCCCAGCAGGCGTGGGGAACGAGACGTGCTGACCACACACCCCCCCCCCCCCGCCTCTGGAGCTGGGTTGCCTGGAGCAGAAGCCAGGCCTAGCCCCGTGCGCTCACTCCGCCCACAGTGCTGGACGTGAACGACGAGACACCCACCTTCTTCCCGGCCGTGTACAATGTCTCCGTGTCCGAGGACGTGCCTCGGGAGTTCCGCGTCGTCTGGCTGAACTGCACGGACAATGACGTGGGCCTCAATGCCGAGCTCAGCTACTTCATCACAGGTGTGGCCCTGCCTCTGCCCCTTCCAGATGGGCACCCCACCCCGGGGGATGTGGGGGGTAAGGAAGGGGAGGGGGCCGAGTCAGCCCTCAGGCTTTAGCTCTTGCTGGGACTCCCTGAGGGTTTGCTCTTGGCTTCTCTCAAGGGCTTTGTAGATAGGTCCCTCCGGTCTGGCTCTCTAGGGGCCTCCTGAGCCTATTTGGACATTGGGGGAACTTACTGAGGTTCAGTCTGGAGGGAGGGCAGGAGCCCTGCCCCTCACCCCATGTCAAGGTGATAAAGCTGTGACCAGAAGACTGTGATCTTGTCCTTCCCCAAGGACCCTTTACTCATGAGAATTCCCATCTGTTTAAGGACAGATGATTTCAGTCTTTCTAAATAAAATAGTTTTAGGTCCCCAATACCGAGTCGAGAGCTGTGGAGAGATAGTATGAGGCCATGTCCTGGCCCAACAGGAGAAAGGGAGTCATGATCAACTAGTGATGTCTGCCGTGACACAGACTGGGTAGGTGGTGGGAAACGTGCCATGTGTTAGTCATGCCCGGATTAGACCTGTTGCCCAGCGTTCTTCAGTCCCTGATACACCTGAGAGGTGCTGGGATGGTGGAAGGCAGTTCTTTCACAACCCTTAGCTGTCCTTTGACCATTTTGCTGGCTCAGTCTTCTCTCTGGCCGTGGCCCGCCTGCAGCCACGTTACTCACACGCTCACGTGCACACATGTGTATGCACCTGCATTCAGTGCACACACCAACCTCCCTGACACCTCTGCCCCTGGAGCAAGGGATCCCAGGTTGGCAGCCCATCCTTGCCTGCGGCAGCCCTCAGCCTCTCCTTTTCAGATCTTTCCCTCTCTCCTCTCCCTAAAGGGACCCAGTTACCCTGAGGCCAGCTACTTACAGTCTAGTCCTCAAGAATGCCTCAGGAAAGGCCTAGTTATCAAGACACACCCCCCCCCAACGTGGACCAGTCATAGTTCAGCACCCAGCACCACATGTGCCTCAGTTTCTCCCCTTCCCCACTAGGAACCATGTGAAGGGTGCTTCAGACCATCCACAAAGAGGTCAGCAGTTTTCCCAGGGACAAACCATGTAAGGACAAGGGAGCACCTGGCAGTTCCCAGGATGCTTTCCCAGCGCCCCAGACTGGCCAGTTCCTGCTGACCTGCTCAGAGCCCTCCCAGCTGGGATTCTCAGATTTTCATTTGCTCCCTTCTGGGGTTTGCTGCCTGGGGTCCTGGTCCAAGCTAGCCTAAACCCAGTGCTGCAGCGCCCTCTGCTGCCCAGAACACCACATCACCTGCCAGCTGGCTGGGGGGGGGGGCGGTGGTCTTCACAGCTTCAGGTGGACTCCGACAGGAAACTGTCCACCTTGGAGAGGAGACCCTCCCACTTGCCACCCCATCTACCTGCCCCTACACTTCCCTCTTTGGAGCCTCTAGGAGCCCCCACTCCAAAAGCCCAAGATCAGAGACATGGAAAAATCTTAGCTGACCCCAAAGTCCTTGGCCCCATATAAAAGCCTCGACCCGGGTTAACTGCTCAGACCATGTCTACCAGATGGGCAGGCAGCAGAATGGTGAAGGACATGGACTCAGGAATCAGAATGCCAAGCCGGAGTCTCATATGAAAAGAGGCGACTGTAACCCCAGGCAACACACGTCACCCCACTAAAGGAGTGTAAAGTGTAAAGCCCGCCCTGTAAAGTGGGCTTGTGATTGTGATAGTACAAATGAGATGAAAGAGTCCACGTGAAGTGCCTGGTATGCAGTAGGTGCTCAGTGAAAGTTCAACCCTTCTGATTTCAGGCATTCGGCACCCCCACCTGAGCCCACGCAGGCCACACCCTCATCAGAGCCCCCACCCCCCACCCCACCCCACCAAGCTCAGAACCCTGTCCTTGGCCAGGGCTGTAGAGGCAGCATGGCCTTTTTCTCCCACACTACCCCCGGAACGTCCTGGCCCAGAAGCAGAGCCGGGGTGCCACCGCCCTTTCCCTGGCAGGAGCCCTGTTCCTCACAGAGGCTGCATTGTCTTTGGCCCACAGGTGGAAACGTGGATGGGAAGTTCAGCGTTGGCTACCGTGATGCCGTCGTGAGAACAGTCGTAAGCCTGGACCGGGAGACCACAGCCGCTTACACGCTCGTCCTGGAGGCCATCGGTACGCCACAGTTTAGTGGGGCTACCCCTTTGAGGGCCAGCCGGGCCTGACCCCGGGACCCAGGCCTTCAGCCAGAGGCTGTCTTGACATCAGTGGAGAAAGGGCAGCCAGACATCCAGCACGTTACTGAGCACCGGTGGGCGTGAGGCTTAGTATGCAGCGCAGCACGCATGCTGCTCAGATGGTGGAGTGGGAGCTACAGGAGACCCGCACGGGAGACCACTGTGTAGACCAATCATGGAAAAATGAGGCCCAAATGAGGCTTAGAAAGGGGGAAGGGAAGAGCCAAGTATGTCAGGCACAAAGGGAGGTAGAAACGTGTTAGGGGGAAGGGTGCCATCAAGGAAGTCTTCTTAGAGGAAGTGGCATCTAGGAGTGTCTTTGGATCAGTTAGGAGTCTTGGTTGCAAGTTTTAAAACAAACTAACTTAAGTAACATGGGCTCACCAAACCAGCCCATAGGGCAATAGAGCTTCAGGTATGACTGGATCAGATGGTTCCACCGGGGCCTCAGTCTCTCTGCCTGGGCTAGCTCTGCCTCCTGTGTGTTGTCTTCATTCTCTGGCCTACATAGCGACAAATGGTTGCTGCAACCCTGGCCTTAATCCTCTTGGGTTCAAGCGCAGCAGCAGGGAGGCAGCACTTGCCTCTTTCCTGGTCTTCCAGCCTGAAGCCCCAGATGAGCTCTGATTAGATCCATCTGCCCCAGTGCCTGTCCCTGAGGCCCTCACCGTGGTCAAGGGAGGGGAGACGTGCTAACTAGGCCTAAATCACATGTCTGCCCATCCCTGGCACCGGTGGGTGGTCAGACCTGCCCAGAACCCCAGGCCTCGGAGTCAGGAAGGTAGGGTTCTCAGAGCGCCCTTCAGGACATGGACTTTGCCTGCAAGAGCAGATGGTGCAGCTGGGCAGGTACCCGTCACCGCCTTGAAGGCCAAGTCAGGTTTCAGCAAGCTGAGAAGGGAGGGCGTTTCAGGCAGAGGAACCAGCCCCGGAAGAGACCTGGCTGTGGGAAAGAGGTGTGTGTGGGGTGTGTGTGTGTGTGTGTGTGTGTGTGTGTGTGCGCGCACCACGCGCACCAGTAGCTGGCTCATGGTGTCATGCACCCTGGGGAGGAGGAGTCTGCAGTCAGATAGGCCAGCTTGTCAAGGCCTAAACATTGGGCCAGAAATTTGGTCTTTGGTCCCCAGGCAGTAGGGAGCCCATGAGGGCTCTGGATGGGAAGAAGGGTGTGATGAGGCCTGTGGCCCTGCTCCTAGGAGCACCCAGTTCAACATCTGCCATAAGCTGCGGGTGAGAGGGAGTGAGCTTTCTGTGCCCCTCTCTTTCCAGCCTGTAGCCCCCCGCCAGCCCACCCATGTCCAGATGCATCTACCCTCTGCCCTGCTCTGCTCTCGCCCTCGGGAGACCCCTCATTCCCTCTGTGTCAAGCACTGCCTGGCTGGAGGAGAGGGCCCAGGATCAGGCCTCTGATGGGCCCTGCCAGCCCGAACTGTCCCCAGCTGGGGGCAAGTAAGCAGGACCTCCAGGAGCCTCCAGTGGGAGGATGGGCTTGGAGAAGAGCTTAGGAGGGCAGGATCGCCTACCTCGGGATGGGCAACTGTGGCCCGGCATGTGGTCAGCTGGCCTGGGAAGAAGGATGGAGTCACCCCTCGTCCTCAGCCCACTCCAGCTCCCTGTACTCCTCCTGGGGTGACTGTCCTTGCCTAGACACGTCGCACAAGCTCCTTCCTTCTGGGAGGACAATCTGACAGCTGCCCCTGGGGCTGAGCCGCTTCCCCAGCCCTGGGAGGGTCCTGCAGGAACCTGGATGGGCAAAACCCGTGGACACCTTAGGCTTAGAAATCAAGCTGGGCTTGTCCCCCTGAGTGCAGAGGGCCCAGAGGCCAGATCTCTCCTCTAGGCCGGTTTGACCCATCTCTTATTTCACACAGGATGACAATCAGTTGTGAACATTTGAAAATCAGGAGATTTTATGTACAAGCTCCGATGTTCAGTTTCTCTGGAAAAATCAGAAGATGTAGTGTCACTGGGCCCACCCTCTGTCTGTCCCCTGTGGACTGGAAGAGGGGAGAGCTGCCCACTGGGGTCGGCCCTCCCATGTGTGCACCCATGGGTCTCACCCACCTGGCCCCGAGAGCCACTGGCTTGTGATCTCGGTACCTGCACCTGTCTCCTCAGGCCGCTGTAACAAATTGCCAAGACTGGGTAGCTTAAAAGAGTAGAAATTTATTTCCTCATGGCCCTAGAGGCCAGAAGTTCAAAATTAAGGTGTCAGCAGGGCTGCCTGCATTCCCCTCTGAAGGCTCTAGAGGGGAATCCTTCCTTGACTCTTCCAGGTTCTGGGGGCTCTAAGTATTTCTTGGCTCGTGGCTGCAAAATCCAATCTGTGCCTCTGACTCAATATGACCTTCTCTCTCTGCCTTCTTCTCCTAAGGACCCTTGTCATTGGGTCTGTGGCCCACCCAGACAGTCCAGGACACCTCATCTCAAGATCCTTAACTCCGTTACACTTTCAAAGACACTTTTTCCTACTCAGTTTGCACTCACAAGCTGCCTGGGACCTGGCAAGGGCATATGTTCTGGGGGCTACCACAGAACTGCTTCGTGCCTCAGTTACCCCCTCTGTGAGATGGGGCTAATGAAAGCAGCACCAACTTCACGTGCTTCTTGTGAGGACTGAATGCCTTAGAATAGCGCCTGGGACCTAATAAGCCTTGTTAGTGTTATTCTCAATCTAAAAGGGGGAAGAGCCACCCCTTGCCAGAGCCAGAGTGGGTGGGATGAACAGGACACGTGCCCAGGGAATGTGCCCCTCACGCAGCAGCTAACAGCCCATCCTCCTTCGGCTCCCACAGACAATGGCCCCGTAGGTAAGCGGCGCACGGGGACAGCCACTGTGTTCGTCACCGTCCTGGACGTGAACGACAACCGGCCCATCTTTCTGCAGAGCAGCTATGAGACCAGCGTCCCCGAGGACATCCCTGAGGGACACAGCATCGTGCAGGCAGGTGGCCGTGGCCCCCTGGGGCAGCTGGTGGGCTGGGGGCAGGCGGGGCTGCACACATGCTCAGTGAGGCCAGGGCACAGATGCCACGTGGAGGGATGGAAACAGGAGAGGGTCCAGCGGCAGCTCGGGAGGTAGCCAGGAGCCCTCCTCCCTCCTGGGGAGAGTAGGCCTTTCGTTTCTGTAGCCTACTGACAGCACCCTGGCTCCCCCAAAAAACATAAGGAAGGCTTTGCCTCTCCCCTTCCCCCGAAGCTCGCTCCTCTCCCCCCACCCCACCCAGAGGGCCTGTCACAGCAGCAAGGGCATGGAGCTGTCACATTTTCCCTGGAAGGAGGTGAGGGGGAAAGAGCCAGGGCCGGCGGGGCCCAGCACAGAGAGGCTTTCATGGGTCCTTGGCCAAAGCTCTCCTCTCGAGAGGTTAAACAGGCACAAGAAGAAAGAGCCCCTTTGCCTGGGGAGCAAGAGTGACAGCTATGAGGCTCAGCGGGAGAAAGGAGACGACCTGAAAGTGAGGCTCGGGTGCCCTCCCCCACCTTGCCCTGGAGGCCTCAGAGGCTGTGGGGAGGGAGGCTGGGAATGAATTACCCTCTTCAGCAGCTGTGGAGGCGGAGGCGGAGCCCAGCACAGCAAATCTGGGCCTGTCCCTGGGGCAGGTCCCCAGGATCAGGGGCTGCAAGTGTGTCCAGCTCCCTGCCTCTGGCCCGCTGGGAGCCAAGCAGGAAGCGAGTGGGCTGGGAGCAGGGTGCTGACTCCTGGAGTCCAGGAAGCCACGAGAATTTGCCAGAGTCTCTGGGTTGGTCCCAGAAGGACGCACCAGGAGGTTCTCTTCCTCTGGGCCTCAGCTCCTCCTCTAGCCTTACGCCTGCCACCCCACTCTACCAGACTGACAGTCTCCCAGGGCCGCCATCCCCACCCCCAGCTTTTCCATTGCCTTTAGATCTCTGGGAAGCCTTACCCCTACCCCTGGTCTCCAGGAAGAGAGCATCTAGTGCCAGGTGGGCACACACACTGGCTGGGGGATGACACGGGAGACTGTAGGCCAAATTCATCCTGGGACGTCTCAGGGAGGCCCTGGGAAGGGAACCAGAAAGAAGTTCACCAGCTGGAAGGAAAAAGGGTAACAAACTCCCATGGGAGGAGGCCTGCCCCACTTTCCAAACAGAATCGGTTTCTGTTAACACAACACTACACAGCCTGAAGTTGTCAAGTCCAGGAGTGAGACAGGGCAGCCCCAATTTCCCCATTTCTAAGGGAGAAATTCAGGCATTAGTGACTTCTCCAAGGCCCTGGAAGTTTCTGGCCAAGGTGGCCTCACTGATGTCAGAATGACCTGGAAGGGAAGGTACACTGGGCCTCACCAACTTGCTTGGAGACAAACTTCTGTCTAGGGGCATGTGAGGGAAGAAGAGCCCCTCCCCCACTCCTAGGACTCCTTAAGCTTTTGGGAGTTGGGGACACATGCAGATGGGGCTGCCCTTCACTCAGGAAATAGAGGCATCATTCATGCTTCTGTGCCTGGAGCTGGTGAGGCAGCGTGAGAGGCTGGACGTAGTCTCACTCTCTGCAAGCTCCCAGGCTCGTAAGAAGGAGGAGACCTAGATGTGGGTGGCCCACACTGCTGAGAGGAAGTGATCCCTGCCCTCCCTCTGAGAGACATGAAGTGAAGGGGTGGTTCCAGGCAGGAGGTGACTTTCAGCTGGAGAGCAAAGATGGCTTCACGGAGGATGCCTTGCGAAGCGTAAGCCTGGGGAGGACAGGTAGTTGAGTTTGTCTGGAGTCTTGGGTCAAGATGAGGCTAGAAAGATAGCTTGGAGCTGGCTCCCAAAGGGCACTGAGCATCACACAAAGGGGCTCTGGGTTTATCTAGCTGGCAGTTGGGAGCCAGCAATGGTTCTGGAGCTGCAGCAGTTGGGAACAAGTGGCAAAGCGGGAGCTCACTCTTTGAGAAGACCTGGATGGCTGTGCCGTGAGTCATAGCAGGGTGGGTTGGGGCAGCCCTGTGGCAAGGCACAAGGTGGCCCTGGCCAGCCGACTCTCTGGAGCAGCAGGTGGACAGCTCAGAACTCCTCTGTTTGCTCTCCAAATTTGGGACCAAAGTGTACAGCCACGGCCCCGTGGGGAGAGTTTGGGGGTTTGGAATTCCGAGAAGCCCGCTCTAGGGTGGGGTTGCTTTGACAGGTAGCCAGTCAGTGACGTGATTGCTAGAAACTCAGCGTACCTAGCATGGTCCAGTCCTGAGGCGCTGTCCTGGACCGGTCTGGACCCTCCTACCCCAAAGGGAGGATGCCTCCTTCCCTGGATGAGGCAGGGGCGCTGTGATGTGCCCTCAGAGCCCGGGTGGCATCGCCTCTAGCTCCTGGCAATGCCTCCCAGCATGGGTCCTGGCCTAGCAAGGAGTTCCTTCACCTGTTCTCAGCCCCTTCCTGGTCCACTGTGATATGAGCACCTTCGAGGGGGGCCACCAAGACGGCTGCCAGGATGGTGATTGGCTGGGCAGTGCCGAGAGCCTCTTGCTTGCCCTCCTCCCAGCAGGCACCGGGACATATGACCCACCTCGAGGGTGCTGGCTGCACCCAGGGATTGTTAGGCGAATGCTCCTGGGGCCTGGGAATTCCCAGGGGAGGAGTCCCTGGCTTTCCTTTTGCCTTGGGCACTGAGTTGGCACAGAGGGCACAACAGTACCTTGCCCCCTGTGTGGGCCGAGTATTTCACTTGGCTGGAGGGAAACCAGTTTGGCAACCCCAGCTGGAATCCATGCGTTGGCACCTGGAGGGTGAGCAGGACTTCTGGGGGGAAGCAGGGGTGTTGTTTCCCAGAGGTGGTTGGTGCCTGGTTGCCAGAGGAGGGTACTGGGGGGCCCCAGGTCATACCTTCTGGCCCTGCAGTTGGCCTAGTGCTCTCAGCAGGCAGCAGCTAGAGGGTCTGCAGAGAGGCAGGTGTTCCTCCCAGGGCTGTTCTGGGAAAGGCCATGGGCTTGGGCACACAGGGACCACTGGGGCTGAGCGTGGGGCCTACGTGCTTCTGCAGCCCCTGGTTCCAGGCTCTGTCCGAGGCAGGAGGATCCGTGGGTGGGTCCTGGATGGCGGAGACACCCCTGTCACATCTTGGTAGATTCCGGACAGTCACAGTCGTGGCTGTCATCAAAGCCAGGCAGGGGGCGTCGAGGAACAGGCCTGCCTCGGTGGAAGCTGTGCAGGGAGCGGCGCAGAGAGCCCAGGCGCTTCCAGAGCCTGAGCTGGGGCTCACTGGGGCTCCCGGGGTGGTGGGGCATGCACTCCCGAGCCCGACGGTGGATTGGGTCCAGGGCGGCAGGTTTGCAGAGGGTCATGAACAGCAGACAGCTGGCCAGCAGGAGGAAGATGCAGGCGAGGGTGATGAGCATGGGGAGGGGGTCCACTGCCTCTGCGGGGCTGCCCGGAGTGACAGGAGCTGTGAGGAAGGCAAGGGGACTGGAACTCGGTGTGCTCATGGCTCCTGCAACAGGAAGGGGATAGGAGCTCAGAGACAAATCAGCTGGACCCAGGGCTGCTGAAGGAAGGGAAGGCTGATGGAGGGTGGCTGCTGGGAAACTAGCTGCAGATGCCATCGTGGCCATTTTACAGGTTAGAACAGTGAGGACCAGAGAGGCGACAAGTCTTAGGTCATACAGCAGAAAGTGATGGAGCTGGGCCTGAACTCTTGTCCTTGTTCTGCTATATCCCCTGCCCACCTGCCACAGAGGAGACAGGAGGGTAATGGCCCTGGCATTAAAAAAATAAATTCTCGTGAATTACAATAGTCTTATACCTGAAAACCTGGGAATGTGAGACCAACTCCATCAATAGGTCTTTCTGTGACCCAGAACAAGTCATCAGTTATAGGATGCTGCAACTGGCCAAGGACCCTGACCATTATCTAATGTCGGGGCTGCAAACTAGGGGCACGGGTATGTTTCATTGGACCCTTGTAGTGTTTTTATAAATTTCAGTTAATTGTGAATATTTTAAAAGTCACAGACCAAGAACCAAGAGATTTCACATAAATATCTGGATATCTGGCTTTTCTTGAAATTCCAGAATTTCAACAAGGGCAACACAGGGCCAGTTGCTGCCTGGTACCCAGTAGCCGAGGCCAAGCAGCAGTTGTCCCCTTTAGACAGATCTCTGGCCCCCAGAGCAGCATACCGCCCCCACAGGCCCTCTACACACCTTATGTCACCTGCCTGGTGCCATGGGCGTTCCCATTGGTACTGCCCAGTGCAGCCCAGCCTGCTCCCGTGACAAGTAAGGAAACCAAGATCCCAACAAGGGCAGGCCAAGCCCAAGCCCACACTGGGAGCCATTGCCAAGCAATGGGCCAGAACCACGTTTCTAGACTCCTGGCTCTATGGCTCCCAATCCTCTGGGATCACTGAGCCATTATAGAATAGGTAAGAAATAACCCACAAATAGCTACAGAGTTGATAAGGTAGGGCTCGAAACGGTCCCCAGACAGCAGTCACCTGTTATCGCTCATGACCTAACTCATAACCCATGTTATCACTAAAGGGAGCCCAGCAGAGGATCTTTGGAGATGGAAAGTCAGGCTGAGCTGCTGGTTGAATATGTCTGGGGTTGCAGATGAAAATACTTACAGAGCCCGGCCAGTAGAGGACATGTGGCCACAGAGGACTGGTGGCGGGCCAACGTGGACAGTGCCCTCAGAGATAGAGGAGCCCCGGCCAGCCTGATGGAATGCAGGCCCAGTGTGGTTTCCCAAGAGTTTCCCAAAAGAAGCCAGAAATCTCGACATTTCAGGCCAGTGTTCCAGACATTTAAATGTCGACAACGGATTCAAATTTGGTTCAAACAAGAGAGGAGCCGGGGAACAAGGATACGCCGCAAAGGAAATGACCTTGAACCCCCAAAAATTTGAAATGAAGTTTCAAAAACTCAAAACACTAGGACAGGCCAAACAAAACACACAAGTAGGCTACCTCCAGCTTGCAGGCCAGCACTGACTATCTTTTATTTTTGATCATCGTTTCTTTCTCTTTGACCTTGGAGACCTTCCTGCGGTGGGGGATGGCAGGTTTCCCTCCTTCTCCCCTAGCTCACAGCTTAGAATGAACTTACAGTTGCGTTTCTAGCATGGCGCTTGGCGGAGTCGTGCTAAGGCTCTGTACGCGGGCTACAGAGCCTGTGTCAGGAGGCAATGGGGAGCAGGGAGGGGCCCCCAGCCCCTGCCCTATGGAGCACCCCCGGTCCCCACCCCAGGCACTCACCAGCAGCGGCAGGACCTTACTCCGGGTCCCTGCACTCAGCCTCCTTCCTGCCTGCAGCCTGGTCCCGCACCCAGCCAACTGAGGGCATCCAGGGCACCCCACCCCGCCTCCCACCCATTCCCTGCCACCACTCCTTCCAGCGTTTCCAGGCAGAACACAACCCCTCCCAGCTCCCAGCTGGAAATTTTGATGCCCGTCTAGCTGCCCACGGCCTCTGCTTTCAGGCATTGGGCCTAGAAAGCACTCTGGCTGGGCAGCCATATGTGGGTTGGCCCGCCCTTGAATAGGGGTATGGAGAAGGGCTGGAGTGTGCCCACCACCGTCCCCCAGAGGGAGAAAACTGGCCCTCTAGCCTACCCTGGGCAGTACTTGGCTGGAGAGAGAAGAGGACAATCAGAAGTGGGAGAGGTCTCAATCCTGCTAGCCCTGATATTACTGTAAGGCCCTCACAAGGATCCGCAGATCCTATTGGGATAGTAAAGGTGGTCTGGACTTCAGTCCTTGGGGAAGGACTTTAATAGAAAGATTAATGAGCTATAATTAGCATCTTACTAGTTTTCTTGGAAGCCAGAGATTCTAAAGTGCTTGAAAATATCAACCCACCCTCCCTGGAACACACAGCAAAACCAGCTGCCAGGTCCCTCTACAGCCCCTCTGATCCACCCAGGGCCAGCTGCTTGCGGGGAAATGAGGCCTCCACCAGACCAAGGTTGGGAACAGTCTTGAGGGCAGTTTGAAGCTCCTCCCTCCCCGCACACCCAAGGCACACTGGCAGGCCCTGCTCTGGACATATGTCTGCAAGTTCAGTCTAGAACCTTCTTTCTTCCCTCAGAACTCCACAGAGCAGTGCCTGCTGGAGCAGGGGCCCTGACCTCAGAACACATCTTGCTGTGTTGCCTTGGGCTGGTCACTATCCTTCACTGGGCCTTGTTTCCACTCTCCACAAAAGAAGAGGGATTCCCCGGGTCTGAGTGCACCCCCACATCCTCCCCAGAGTACCCCGGACAAGGGTCTGGCCCCACTTTCCTCACCACGCCCTTTCCTACGCTCCCCGGAGCACTGACCTCAGAGCCAGCGCTCAGCAGTCCCAAGCTGGGTAGAAAGGCTGTCTTGCTGTCCACGGGAGGGCCAGGGAGCACCAGGTGCCCACGGTGACTCCGCCGTGCCCTGTGCCCCTCACTCAGCCAGGCTGGGCAGGGTGGGCCTTAGTCGTCACTCACTCTCCAGCTCGTCCTGGCTTTGTCTGGGAGAATTGGGGCCCTGCCTTGGGGGAGGGGACAGCCAAGGGGGTAGGGATGGCAACTGGGTTGTGCAGAGGAGCCCGGGCGCTCCCAAGCCCTCCCAGGGTCTCTCTCCAGCCGGTCTCCTTGGAGCCCTCTCAAGGGCCAGGGTGGAGGCCCTTGGAGAGCCACAGGGACCATTTCACTGCCTCTGCAGCGGCTCTCACCTTCCCCCATCCGATGTTTGAATGGTATGGTCTGCAGCCGGCTATTCAGTGCCTGCCAGCCTCCAGGTTACCCGGGAGAGGGGACGAGGGGGGACAAGAGGCCACAGCCTAGCAGCGAAGTGACAGGCCCTAGCAGTTCCAGGCCCTGGCTCCCCTCCTGCGTCCCTGGGCCCCTCACCTTCCAGGCTTAACCCCTCAGGTTCCCGGAAGAGCACCTGCCCTTTGAAGGTGCGTCTGACTGTGAAGTGAGGGGTGAGAGACATTTTCAAAGATCCAGGAGATCTTAGGGCAGAAAGCACAAAATTGAGAGAGAGCCACAGCTCTGCTCCTTAGAGTTTGAGTGGGCCCCTGGAGGCCCTCCAGGTGGAAGCTCCAGCCCTCCCTACACACACACACACACACACACACACACACACACACACACACACACCCTCCCCCAGCCTTCTTTCTTCCCGGAAGCCAGAGTCCCCCCACAAACTCCCCAGCAGCCAGCTCCCTGTGAAGGAACCTAAGTCTTGAGCAGCTTCCTCCACAAAAGGACCCACCACGAGCTCCCAGAAATACAGCACAGTGGCCACTGTGCCAGGGCCATTGTCTTAGAGACTGGGGATACAGCAGTGGGCCAAGGTGCCCCTCCTCTCTGTGGCCGTGTAGACACTAAGCAAGGAGACAGTGTCAGAAGCTGGTGGGGGCAGGGACAGCCCAGGTAATGGAATGGGGAATGCACCTCCACCTCCAGTGCTCAGGGAAGGCCCGATGAGAAGATGACATTTGAGCAGAGACCTGAAGGGGCTGAGAGGGTTGTGAGCAGGCAAATATGTGGAGGGAGAGCTGGCCGGTGGAGGAGGGAGCATGCACTTGGCAGTTAAGAAAGAGTAAGGAGTGGGGATCTCTGGGTGGCTCAGTGGTTTAGAGCCTGCCTTGGGCTCAGGGGATGATCCTGGGGACCTGGGATCGAGTCCCATGTTGGGCTCCCTGCACGGAGCCTGCTTCTCCCTCTGCCTGTGTCTCTGCCCCCCCCCTCTCATGAATAAATAAATAAAATCTTAAAAAAAAAAAAAACAAGGAGATCCATGTGGCTGCAGCCAAGCTGGTGAGGGGCAGAAGAGGAGCTCTCATTCTCCCAGTTCTCACCAGCAGGAAGCGGGACTTGCTTCTTTCTCAGGGCCCAACGTCCAAAATCCTGGCGAAGGATGAGATTGACCCAAGTTTTGGTGAGGTGCCTTCTCCCGGACTAGTCACCACTGGCTGCAGCCCAGTAAGAACCCGGTAGCAATGGTGCACACCACAGGGGTGCAGGGCAAGGAGAGGAGAGGGGATCACAAAGCAGTTTACCACAAATTGAGACAACATACTGAGGTCTCGAGTCTTCCCAGCCTTGCGGCATCGGGCCTCTTCCTGCATCACCTGCCAGGGGAGCCTCTCTCTACTCCTCTCAGGTGGATGGCGCGTAGAGTAGGTGTTCAGTTCTTGGTTTGATGGGGCCTGGGTTGGGGCTGTGACTCTGCCAGCAGCCTCCAGGCCGGACTCTGTGTGCAAAGGGCTGAACGCTGCGTCGTGTCTTTGAGTGAGAACAGCAACGCCCCGGGCTCCACCAGAGACCTTGCGTGAGCCTGAGGCACAGCCCAGCAAGCTGGGGTGATCTGAAACTGGGCTGGAGTGAGCGTGTGGGTGACTGAATATGGAGCCACCTGGTGGGAGGTGGGATTCCTGGGACTCAGTGCGGCCAGAATGGCTTCAGACTGAGAAAGTGAGGGCCAGAAGCACCCACACAATCCGGCCCCCTAGCCACCTTCCCTCCCACCCAGATGAGGCTTCTGGGATCTCAAAATGGGCTGAAGGAGGGAAGCGGCTTCCCATGGGCTGGCCTAGTCAAGCCTAGATCCGGAGAGCTACGGTGCCATCATCTACCTTCTTCCCCAACCTCCCCGGGACCCTGGGGAAGGATCAAAGAGCAGAACTGGCAGGTGCCTGCCACTCAGGGCAGCATAGAACCGTCACTGGGTGTCACGGATGGCTGCGGGTGGCGTGGAGGGCAAGAAGGGGCTTCACACACAATCTTCTCCTGTGGAGTAGAACCCTGAGAGTGACCGTGTGTTTCATTCTCCCTCAGTTGAAGGCCACAGACGCAGACGAGGGCGAGTTTGGGCGTGTGTGGTACCGCATCCTTCATGGTGAGTGGGCTGCCCTAGGATGGAGGGGGCCGGGCTCCTGCCCTTGGGATGGCAGAGCTTCCCCAGGCTGCCAGGAGTCTGGGAGGTGAGGCCCAGAGAGCCCCAAGCACCATACACACGGGCGGGCAAGGGGAGGGAACGGACACTCTTGGACCATGTGCACTTGGCTGTTTTTGAGTGAGCGCGCTGCATTTGACTGCTACGCTCCTGAAGTTCCTCCTGTGGGATATCACCCTGACAGAGGGGGCCTTGGGATAGGGGAGCCCCCCCAGAGGCCGTCATCATCCCAAGATAGAGCATGTGACCATCCCCGAACCAATTACTGTTGGCCAGAGACTAAAATCTGCCAATCGGCCCACGCTGGGAATCTGGGGTAAGATCACCCCTGTTCAGAGCACATGGGGTGAGAGTGGAGGAAGGTGGATCCCCAAAGGGAAATCAGAGTGCTTTTGCCCCAAGCTGGGGGAATGGGTCCTGGACTAGCCCAAAACCATACACAAAGTCCTCAATTCAACCACCCACAAAGAATTTGGTTTGGGTTCCCCTTTCCATTGTGCCCCAGACCCTTCTGCAATATTGAATCCACTGATACATCAGGGTGTGGGAGTGTCAGGGAACCTCCCCCCGCCTCCCCCCGGCCTTCCCATAAGGAGGGTCCCAGGTGGGATCCTAACAGGCCAGGGCAGCATGAGGCAAAGGACTTCTTGCCATCATGGGCTTCGGCCAGGCTCCCAAGACCTCTGGGCAGGGTCGGCATTCTGGGGGCCTGGGCCCCCCATGTCTTGCTCCAGGCCAGAGCTCATGCATCTCCTCTGTCCCTCCCCACAGGTAACCATGGCAACAACTTCCGAATCCATGTCAGTAATGGGCTCCTGATGCGAGGGCCCCGGCCCCTGGACCGGGAGCAGAACTCATCCCACGTGCTGATAGTGGAGGCTTACAACCATGACCTGGGCCCCATGCGGAGCTCCGTCAGGGTAAGGTGGTGGGGGGCGGGGTGGGGGCTTGCACATAGATGGTCAGCAGGTTGCGAGGCCTCACATCCCCTTCAGCAGTGGCCTCAGAGGCGGGCCAAGGCCACAGTGGACCAGAGATGGGCACCAGCTGGACCCGGTGAGAGCAGACCACCACTGGTTTAGGTGCCCTGTGACCCGGGGCGAGGGTTGTGGTAGGGGATGCCAAAGTCCAGCCTGGGATCTTGGAAGTGTCATTTTGCTCTGAGCCTCAGTTTCTCCAGACTGGGAACGGGGCCAGTGATGCCAATGTGTGTCCTAAGGGATGAAAGAGGTGTCCTTGCAGGACTCACCGCCACATGCACACAACTTACAAGGATGAGCCAAGGAAATTTCACAGATAGGACCTTGGAGGCAGAGCCATTACCAACTTCATTTTACACACAAGGGAACTGAGGTACAGAGTTGCTGCTAGTGATAGAGCCAGGACTTGAGCCAGGTCTTCCAAATCCAGGTCCAGTGCACTTCCCATTAGAAGTGTCCCCAAAATAGTCCAGTTGCCACTCCCAGCTGCCCCGTCATATGTATCTTTTTCTGCCCGCCCTCACGCACCTTGAGCCCCTGCCCTCTGTGGCTGAAATCAAATGAACCTTCCTCTTCCTGAATAGTCAAAGACAGATACACAGATACTCCTCCTGGCCGGTTTCTGCACTATCCTGCCCAGTGGCAGGGGGGTGGCCGAGGTAAGTGAGATGAGCCCTCCAAGTCCCTGCCTACCCTCACTGCACACTCAGCAGCTCACAGCCCCTTCCCCAGAACCAGGTGGAAAGTGAGTCAGACCCCAGAGGCGAAGAGTAGGAGGGAGATAGGAAAGGCCGGGGTGGGGAGTGAGCAGGGACTTTTACCCAGGACTGAGCGAAGCAAAATGAGCTGCTTATCAGCCCCATCTCCACCCTACGATTTCCCCAGGCTGGAAATAATGAGAAGAAGCCTTCTCCGGGGTCACCATCACACAGGAGGTGCTGGGGAGTCGGTGACTCAGCCTTGGCCATGTCCTGTTGATGCCCCCCTCAGCCTTGGCCCAGGAGGAGATGGAAAGAGCAGTCTGGGTCCTTACAGCGCCCCTCGAAGGGAGATCTGCCAGGCAGAGATGGCTGAGGGCCTCAGCTCCCTGGGGTTTGTTTTTACACCTTGGGGCTGCTTGGAATGATTCCAGGACCCTGGTGACTTCGTGTCACACTCAGTGACCTGACCACATGGGGGCATTCCCACACAGCTCTGCTCACCTGCATGACTGTGCCTTGCTTCCCCACATGCTAATGAGTGCACCCACGTCAGAGATGCTGTTTGTGGGGCCCACTTCAGGCCACAGAGGGTAGCCAGGGCTGGCTTAACCTGGAGTTTAAGCTTCCTCATCACAGCCCTCCATGTGGCCCCGTCGCTTCCCACCCTCCCAGGAGCAGGTGGGCACCTGTCTCTAGGCCCTGCTCCTGTTAACCTTGACACCGTAACTGCAAACTTTTTTTTTTTTTTAAGATTTTATTTTTAAGTAATCTCTCCACCCAATGTAGGGCTCAAACTCACAACCCCAAGATCAAGAGCCGCATGCTCCACCCACTGAGCCAGACCAGGCTCCCCTGACCGCAAACCTTTTTAAACAAAGTGGTATGCAGTGTGCCAGGGGACAGCGTAAACCGGATTGAAACCTGCTGTGCCCGTCAGTGTGGGGATGGGGCACCCAGAAGCACACCTGCTTGCCCACCTTCCTTTTGGTCCTCGCCCCATGAACCCTGAGGAATAGTAAGTCCTCACCTGGTGTTTCCTCTGTGCCAGGCACTTTCTAAGTGCTTTATGCCCTTGAACTCACTTAACCCTCATAACAGCCCTACAAGGTGGGCACTGTTATTATACCCATTGTATAGAGGAGGTGACAGAGGCAAAGAGGGATCGGCCAACGTGCTTAGGGTCACATAGCAGTAAAGGGTAGAGCCGGGCTTCACACCCAAGCAGTCCACACAGGTCGCTCGCTCCACTCTCTATGCTCTGCAGCCTCACATACAGGCCCTTCAGAGCACACGGTCCACTGCCTAAAACCCTGAGCTATTTTAAGGTGGGAATTTAGGATCTGGCACCCAAGGCAGGGGCATGATAGCCATTATAGGACACAGCCCCCACACCTCTGAGCCCCAAGAAACATGGGGACTTCCCTGGACACAGGGTGGGGACTCCAGCATTGCCCAGCAGTGGCAGAGGTGGCTTCTGGGGACCATCCACATTTTCCAGTCCCTGCTTTAGAGACCAAGGACAGCGCAGACGAGGGCCCAGGAGCCTGGAGTGAAAGGCCCTCCCTCCTAGAGCCTGGGAGCCTCACATGCCCGCTGCACGTATGCACGCACGCTGCCCCGTCCCTGCCGGAGATGGGGCTGGTTCTCCGGGGAGCCCAGGAGCTCAGCAGCTGAGCCCTCCCGCTTAGAAGAACTTGGCAGACCTATGCGTTTCCTGTACATCTGTCTCTCAGGTTTGCAAACCACACAGCATTAGGCCTCTTGTCTCGGCTGCTAAAAACAAGGCTGAAACCAACCAGAGGATAGTGGCGAGGAGCCAGCCTCGTGGAGAACAGGCCACACCCAGGCTCCATGCCACCTCCCTCCTCTTTAGGTTTTTAATTTATTTATTCATGGGAGACACAGAGAGAGACAGGGAGAGGGAGAAGCAGGCTCCCTGTGGGGAGCCCGATGCGGGACTCAATCCCAGGACCCCAAGATCACACCCTGAGCCGAAGGCAGATGCTCAACCACTGAGCCACCCAGGTGTCCCTGCCTCCCTTCTCTTTATGGTCCTGGCAGACTGGCCCTGTTTGTGTCCCCACGGGCCTTGGGGTAAAGGCCAGTTGGACAGGCAGGCTCGGGAAGGGGAAGGCTCACAGTTTTGAAAAATGGATGGTTAGTTTCTGTTTACAGAAAGAGAGTTCCCGAAATCTGTCCATGCAAATTCCCCCCACACCCACCCCACCCAGGATCTTCCTAGCCAAGTTCTTGGTGAAACCAAACTGAGACGGTTCCGGCTTATGAACAGCTGTGCTCTGGGGTGGGCACTTTAGTTTGCATAGTGGGTTCTGCGTGTCTAGACGTGGAAATCTGATGACACAGCAGGACTGTAGGAACCCCAAGAGCTGGGAAGGATAGAGAAACCTTTACCCCCCACATGCCTCTCCTCCCCGTAACTGTTACCTCCCCTGCCCCCTGCTAAAGTTCTCCACAAATCAGGCCACCATTTCTGCTACAAAAGCCCCTTCACTTCCCCAGTGAATTCCCAGCTATGCCCAGAAGAGAAGCCAGGGCTGATCCCAAAGCCAGGGATCAATCAGAAACCCGATATTGGTGCCCTCCGATGGTGTGTGCTGCGGCCCCACCGTGAGTGCTGCTGGGCACGTGTGAGATCTGTGTCTCACACTATTGCCCATGCCCCCTGCCCCTTCGATGCTCCTACTCTGCTGGCAAGTTTCTGCTGACCCTGGTTCTGTCAGGCTGGAGGGACGTTGACTCCTGTTCTGAGGCCAGCTCGCCCCCAACATAGAGCAGAGAGGAGTAGAGGTTGGTGGACTGAGAACCCCCTCTCTTTCCTGCCCCTTCAGTTCCTGTGAGACCTTGAGTAAGTCCCTCCCCATCCCTGAGCCTCAGTTCCCCCCTTCTCCCTATCTGGGAAAACAGAGAGGGCCCTGGGATACCCTGTGTCTCCTTAAACACCAGCGCTCTGTGACACACTGCCCTCCCTTACCACCCTGGTCCTTCTAGACTCAGACCTGATCCTGCCCATCCCTGGGCCAGACCCTCCTTGTGCTCCTGTGTGTATGTGAGGGTCAGGGGCAGGTGGTGTAGAAAAAAAAAAATATTCTGTGACCCTGATCTCCAGCCATAAACGTCTCTCTCCATAAACATTTTTGGAACTGATTTTCTTCTGTTACACAAGACGTGTGTGCTTTAAAGAGCAATTAGAAAGGACCGATTAGCAGTGATGGAAATTATGCATAATTCCACAATTCAGATAGAGCCACTTATTTGGCCAGGGTCCTCGGAAGCAAATCCTAGGTCAAGAATGGATATGAAGACGATAAGTAGGAAGTGTCCCCAGGAAAAGCTGGAAGGAGCATGGAACAGGGAAGGAAAGGCAGCAGGGTGGGGGGACACTTTGACTCAGCCCCACAGGGAGCTCTGGAGAAAATCACTCCAACTGCCCAATCAGGGCTGAGGAAGTCAGAGTGTTTTATACTCCACTCCCACCAGTCACTGGGTAAGTGCTACCCCAGGGGACATAATTCCCAGGCACTTCTGGCTCTCTGGGTGTGCATGTTCCAGCAGCCTGGGTGGGGTGGGATGAGTCCCCCACCGAGAGCCAGGGTTGCTGGCTGCTGGCAGTGAGAGCACCCAGAGAAAGTGCCTAACAACCCAAAGGGGTCTGAGCACCAGCGTCCTCTGCTACAATCATAATTAACATCTTTCTGACTGTTCTCTCAGATGTATTTTGATATTCGAATGGGGTCACTTCAACCTTTTGAAGCACTTTTGCAAGGCCTGGCTGGTTTTGTCTTCCTAACAACCCTAGAAGTGGCACGGAGCATGAATTATCAGGCTGATATATTACTATTTCATAGCTGAGCAGCTTGATGGCCCAGAAGAGTCACTCATAAGTCACAGGTTCCCACCGGGTTAGTAGCAGAGCCAAGAGTAAGATAAAATGATGTTTGAGCACCTGCCCCATGCCCGGTACTGTGCAAGGTGGCGGGACATGGTGCCCAGTTAAGGGGAGCTTACTGCTGGCCCAGGAGAGCAGTGACCACACATGCAGGCCCAGGAAGGCCAGCCCTGGCCTGCTCTGGTCTCCACCCCACCTTGACCTTCTGCCCCCGGTCTGGCTGCAGGTGATAGTGTATGTGGAGGACGTCAACGACGAGGCCCCTGTGTTCACACAGCAGCAGTACAGCCGCCTGGGGCTTCGAGAGACTGCAGGCATTGG